AGGGATTATATTAGGTATGTAAATATTCTTATTCTTTAGGGGTTTAATTCGAGTTGGATAAAATTGTATTCAATGGGAATGTCAACTAACGTTTATGGGATTGGTACAGTACATCGTGTCATTCATGGTTTACTATCAATTTCTTTGCCAATCGTATAACAAAATAATAAAACTGTGATTTATCGATCACTATAATTATTTTTGCACGTAAGCCTATAAATCGCACCTCCGATCGATACTCTAAGGTCAAGTTTAATTATCTAACACAATTGACAATGAGCTGTGAAGTGAATATGACATTAAAAGTTACAGATAAGGCTAAATCAAAAGTTCAAGGCAAATAACATTGTAATTAAAATAGCAAACTTTAATAATTATAAAATTAGTACAGTATTATCAAGCCTTTCAATAATTATATATATATATATATATATTATTATAAATATTTTCAAAAGAAATCATTTTTTTCCATCAGTTTATTTGCTGATAAGTTTTCATAATTGCTTAAAATCGTGTTTTGTTTTCAAAACACGACTTGTTTACTGTTTTTTTTTAATTTACTTCAGCAAAGGAAAGAGAAAGTTGAAGAATTACGCCATGTGCTTAACATGGTTTAAGGTCAAGTTTAAATATCAATCGATGTACGATATCTAATACAATTGACAATGAGCTGTGAAGGGAAAATAAAGTTTAAGGCAAAGTTACATTAAAAGTTCAAGGGAAATAAAATTGCAATGAAAAGAAAACCTTTTGCAAAATAAATCCTTTATACATTTAACCTTCATTAGACCCTGATTATCACTTGTCAGCCATCATCGAAATCAATCTAATCTAATTGATATAAGCTGTAAATTTGATGACCTTAGCCGTGCAACTGTTTAACACATCGCCTTATCCTCCATTAGTCATAGGTTCGATTGGCGTACAATGCATAGATTTAAATTCATAAGTGTCCCTATATTTTTATATATGATAGGTATGTAAGTATTTACGAAAATAATGTATATATTTCTATTACTCGTTTAGTATAGTATAAGCTCTTCTTAGTTAAAGGCTATATAGATGGCGCTGTGTAATATAATATAACCAATAGTGTTTATTTCATAAAAACGCACTGTCATTTGATCTATAACAACAATAGCTGAGTTCATTAAATTAATTAATTTGCACAAGTGAACGTAATCAAATTACAGAAATCCGAGTCCAGTTTAATTATCCATTCTAATTAGTTGCCTAATCTACATTTCTGACGAATTGATATTAATAATGACTAGGGGCTGAGTGGAATAAATTGTCTGGTTGATTTTTTACACTTTCGAAAAATTGGAAATCATCGTAGAGAATTTCTGATGAATAATTCATCAGGATGAGCTAACTGACCTGACTTTATCTTCGCCTGTCATTTCGTATTAATGCCTACTAACAATGTAAACCAATAAGGCAGGCGTCATAATTGTTTCATTTTTAATCCACTTCAGAAAAAAGCGGTTCTCAACTCGATTGTATCTTTTGTTTGTTACGTCATTACTCCCTCATTGATTTGAAAAATTCTTCTGTGAGGATACCTTCAGATTTGTCCCTTAAAATGTTAATCAAGTTCAGTTTAGTAGTTTGGTTTTCAATCGATTTAAAAAAGAAGGAGGTTGAGTTTTTTTTTATGTTTGTTATGTCATAACTCTAATATATACGTAATGCCAAATCGTTAATAGAAAAGTCTAAATTACATGTATCTATCAATAACATTTTTTAATCATGTGTTCACGGCGACGGTAATCACTTACCATCAGGTGAGTCGCATGCTCATTTACTCGCTGTTGAAAAATCCCATATTTTTTAAATTTTATTCAGTAAAAGACATAAATATTATTTATGACTAAAATCGCTTAATCGTTTAATGTATGTGCCGAATATTGGCATTGTTAATTTTAAAATATTATCACTTATTGTTGTTACTGTATGTTTTAGTGCAATAAAATAAAAAAATATATTGTGCTGAACGTAACACTCGATATGCCTATATTTTGCCGAGCATGTTAGAATCCAATAGTAATTACTATTAATGAATTGAAAAGATAACCACGTTTTATCATTTTGAATGAATGATCAACGGATAAATTAAATTGACAAAGTCGTTAATTTCTTAATGACAATGTTTGCGGTCTACAGCCGGAGTTGCATTCCACTGAATCACGAAGTATAATTTTTTTCACAAATTTCAAGCCTCTTTTCTCCAAAATGATAAAAACATTAATTTTTACGCATTCACAAATTTTTATTCGATTTTTGATATGTTTTATCACATAAATACTATAACAAGTGATGACAAAAAATGACTGTTAACGTCATTTTTTGTCGTTGTATATTGTTGTATATGTTATATTGTTGTGCTATAAATTATATATATATATATATATATATATATATATATATATGTGTACATATGAATATATGATATCAAAAATATTATCCACAATTGTTCGAAGCTATTTTATTTTATTCAAATATTTATCATTTTTTTTTTTACAATTACAATTCAATGTGGCAACACTGATTCAAGTAGTATATAAACGTATGCGATGATTTGAAAGTGCAGTAGAAAGTCTCAGAAAATATTTTTGTACATGTGACACAAGAGATATTACCAAATGTTTTATATAAGATCGTCTATCTACGTATGCTAATTAATTAAATTGTGAAATTGAGCGACATTACAAATTCGAATGATTTTTTTTCCTATAAGCTGTTTATTTAAGTATATATTTATATATTTCCAGGTAAAGGTGTTATATTTATACACGTAACATCTTTGCCCGGAAATAACATCAGATTACGAGTCAATACGTCAGTGACCGGGTTTGAAACAAATGGTTTTCTAATTCACGGAAACGTAACATAGAAAATAGTTGGACAGGCTTACTGTAATTCTCGATTTGTATAACTAGTTGTATATCGTGTCTCTGTCGAGGAACAGCAGCGTTCCTTTTAAAATATCATCAAAGCTTAACTGCGGTTGCCAATTCATCTGCTAAGCGTAGCAACTACTGGCAAAACCTCCCTAATAAAGGGAGGTCTATATTTAGCAGTAGACAATTAAAGTCTGATATGGTATAGCTTATCTGTAAATTAAATTTTATTCAAATCTGTCCAATCTTTTTAGCGTGATTGAGTACCAACCATTTAAATATTCGAATAACCAAATTGTCTCATTTGTAGCACGATATAATAAAAAACTCATATATTTTTTTTAAATCTACTATAAATATGTTGTATTAAAAGTAGAATAACATACATAATCTGGTTCAGCACGTTGCTTGAATACGTAATACCTCAAGGTTCGATTGCGAATTTGCGAAACAAAATTGTTTGAATTGCCTAAGATCTGTTGTTTTAAACTATATTTACAATATTTGCTATTAACTGACTATTTGTTAAATATATAAACTTAAAAAATAGCCGTGTATGGTAAGTCCTGGCATAGAATAGGCCACCCCTTCCTTTCCTGTGGATGTGGTAAGAGGAGACTAAGAGCGCTTATAGCGAAGGGATGGGCAGCAGTGTCCCTCTTAAAACATTATCAAAAGTCAAACTGCAGTTGCCAACTGGCCTGCCAAGCGTGGCAACTACTGGAAAAACCTCCCTTATGGGGTAGGCTATGTTTAGCAGTGGACAGTTTACGACTGATACAACATATAGATAGATAGACTTAAAAACAATATGAGATTAATAATTCGATTGTATCCTTTTAGATCTAAAGTTCAGTTCCATCACTTTACACTTTACAGATTTACACTCTACAGAACAAAACGGACTTTTTTGTCCGTTTAGTTTCACTATTTGCCGTTAACTTTTTTTATACAACTGTGGTGGTAAACAAGCATACGACCCGTTTGATGGTAAACGAAGTTATCGTAGCCTATGGACGCCTGTAACACCAGGGATCTCAGGATCTAGGGAAGTTTGTATTTTATATATATTCATTTTTTTATAGGAAAACCAAGGCTACACTAGAGCAATATACACATACTGTATTTTATGTAATATACCTTTATACAATATATTTTTATTAATATATTTTTCGCACGATTGCGCTATTTCTTATACTAATAATATCTCACTAATAAAATTCTGACTTGACGATGTCTGTACACAGGAAATTTTTAAGAAAAATTAATATGCGAGGTTTAAATAATAGTAATAGAAGCCAGAGTCATGATTTTTAGAAATTTTGTACATCTATTTGACTGTTTGTCTGTAAGTTTGTTTTGACATCACCTAAAAAGTACTGCACGAAATTGGATGCGGTTTTGACAGTTGTATTCCTGAAGGTTTAATTTAAAACCAGGTGCATATTTAATAGAAGTAGTCTATTTAAATGATTTTCCTACTTCTAATCTACACGCATACGAAGTATCGGGCAAATAGCTAGTTGTAAATATAATATTTTGGAAGTGCTTTGAATATTTAAAAGTTAATTAATATATCGTGCCACTGATTAAACACATTTGAATAAAGTTTTGTACACCAATGAACTATAACCTACATTAATACTAGTATGAGTACTTTTTATACCATAAATTGGTATAAAAAGTAGTATGGATGAAACCCTTACAATATTTTTTAAATAAAACTTTTTACTTGCTTATAACTGTTTGAACTAATATGCAGTATCGAAAATTTAAAAAAAATCGTTAGGAAATGACATCGGAAAGTAGATCTACGATATCTTACACATATATAGAGTCTACCTACTTTTACTTATTTGTTTGTATATAAAAGTAAAATTTGATGTGTAAATAAAGTTTATAATAAATTGAAGGTATATAAAAAAAAAAACAGAAAATAATAAAAGATCAAGGTCCAACTTTGGATTTCCTCTTGGGATGAATATCTTTATCTTCCGATCGTTCTTTTATAAATTATTAAAAATAAATAATAAAATTTTGATATAATTTAATTGTGTTGTTTTATTTTATTCTATAAATTATTAAAACAAAACTTACCGAAAACAAAAACACCCTCTCGTAAAAAAAAAAAACACAAATTGAACTTAAATTATGCACTGAACAAAAAAATTATAATATTGAATTATTATCAAGTTTATATTCTTATTTTCGGATTGGTACAAAATTTTCGCGTCAGCTGTTAATGGTAGCGCGGCGAAGACTGTCCACGGAGAGTGTGCGATTGTTTCGTAATATGCACCATTCTAGCGCTCATATAGTGAACACGAGGAAGCGGACGCTGTAGCGGGAGCGGGTGCTGTGCTATAAAACTAAAGATATTGGAATACATTTTAAATTCATATCAAATTTACGATTCTGAGTATAAATTAATGTGATTTAATAAAGTTATATTACTCCTGATATTTATAACTTTTCAAAATTTTCAAGGACATTTTTTAATTTCATATCTGTTTATTCTTGAAAGTGAAACACAGATTCGTAAATAACTTAATGTTTATTATAATTAATAAAAAAACGGGGACAACGTAAAGTTACTTTCTGCAATATTGTATTACAGTATGATCGGCTAATGTTGCCTATATTTAAGGTTTTATATATTGGAATCAGTCAAAATAGTCGAATTCAGTATTAAATTTACAATAACAGTAAGAATTATATATTAAATGTCTGACTATCACAGTTATTGTGTTTAGAATTTAGTTTTTTTGTGATTTAGAATATTTTTTTTATGATTAGAATAGACGGCCTACCTGATGGAAATTATTATATTACAGTACCATGGACATTACACACACATCGCCCATGATATTGTTGCCATTCCTGAGGACTCAGGTGTTATTCCTCTGTATCTCTCAAACCCAAACACAGCCTTTTTCTTCACGGTAGAAAAAATAGAGATCGACTTTTGTACATGAATTCATTATCTCTTATTAAGATTACGAATTTTCTTTTGTTGATGCAAATTCGAATATAGAATGTCATTATTCTATTACTAACTGAGATGGAAAGATCAATCACTCAAGAAAAGAATAACAGTTTTATTTTAAATACAACGTTATACGCTTCCGCTCGTTCACTTGGTCTTTTTCTAAGGCTGTACACGTACATCTGTGACGTATACTACCAACGTTGACGAGTTATATTCATTTCGGACAATCTGATATTATATTATACATTTTTAGCAGCCTTAATTGTGGAAAATCATTACAGTGGTGATACTTTTTAAGATTTTGCTTAAAAAAATCAGAACCATTATTCATCATGTTTGTTTATATAAGTGTACGTCAGTATGTCCTAATTTAGCTGTAAAACAGCTAAATTACACAATAATATAACTTTTTAATAATATACAATAAGAGTTACAGATTAAGAATTACAGAGAATCAAGTTTTATTACTAGAGGGATGCTTGTACAAAAGTCATCTGTGGACATGCTTGTTTGGCTTATATTTTTGCCGCCCTACGATTGTGCTTGCATAGTTATAAGGGTTACAGGATACAGATGCACTTTAGTCACTGAGAACAGTGACGTGTGAGTGGTACCATGCTATCTCAGAATATTCTATGAGATACATGCTACTATTCTTGATTATAGGTGGTAGTTACCACTTTCCATGTATGACGTAAGCATATTTTCCATTCCAAATTGTTTAAGATTAATCTTTATAATCTGTATCATACTTTAAAAGGAACAATAAAGAGTTCTCATTCACTTATTAATTTATAATGTTACAAAATTATATCTGTAATATTTTTATTTATCTCTTGCTAGCTTCAAAACCTCTGTAAGCCCATTATCTCTCTCTTTAAGTAAGTAACTATTTTCCCATGTTCTATCTTCATCTTCCAGTGTCACTCTTTCCTGTTGTATGTGTACTTTTAAGTTTGTGTGTGTTTATGTATGTATTTATTTATGTATATATATATATATATATATATATATATATATATATATATATATATATATATATGAGTATATATATATATATCTTTGTATATATTTGTTTACATATAATAGTGCGCCACCTACCCTTTGTTTTTCTTTTCACAATGTTCTCTACCCAAAGATTGCCTGGAAGAGATTGCTTAGCGATAAGGCCGCCTTTTGTATCATTTCTTATTACAGTTAAATGTATTTACTTTTTTATAAATGGTGCAATAAAGTGTAAATAAATAAATTTATTAATTATCTATTTACCGCTTTATTACCTACATCAATATTACAGGAATTGTTAATGGATTTTAAATAAGTATAGTTTAATAACTGTCGTGAGTCATACTGTTTGTAATTATATATGTCGTTTTAAATTCAGGGGTGCTGAAATATATAGTATGGAATAAGAGGCGATCTTTCTGAAGCAATCTGTTCCGAACAATCTTCGGATAGAAGGAATTAGGTGGCGTGTTAAAAAAATAAATGTAAAGCTCAACATTAACTATATGTATTATTTTTATAAATGGTGCAATAAAGTGTATATAAATAAATTTGCCATGTGATCTCGGTATAGAATGGGCCACCTCCTCTTTTTCCATGGGTATCGTAAGAGGCGACAAAGGGAACTTAATGGTCAAAGGACGGGCAGCAGAGTCTCTCTTAAAACGTCACCAAAACCTAACTGTTGCCAACCAGCCTGCCAAGCATGGCAACTACTGGCAAACCCACCGTTATAGAGAAGGTTTATGATCAGCAGTGAACAATTAACAGCTGATATAATGATGATGAAATAAATAAGTAAAATAAATATACGTAGATAAATACGATTCTATCCATACATATATACACAGTACAAACTTTATTTATTATAGTGATGATAATTTAATCGTGTTTTAAAATAATAATATTTATTTATTTATTTATTTCAAACATATGTGTTTTTATAAGTAATAAGAAAATGTGTAATTTTGAAATAGGATATGCCGTAACTAAGATTATTGATATGTTAATTTATGTAAAAATTATGAATAAATTTATTTATAACTTTGTATTACTGCGCCTATTCGCTCTCGCGTCGCCCCCTAATATCAAAAGAGCGTTACTAGAGTTAGATATCACTTTGTGTGTATATATATATATATATATATATATATATATATATATATATATATATATATATATATATATATATATATATATATATATATATATATATATATATATATATATACTTATAAATGTTGTGAGCAAGGGTGGACTTATCTCTGATAGAGATCTCTTCCAACTTATTAATTTATTTACAAGAAACATGGTGAGTATATAGATGTTAACAATAAATATAAGTCCAGATAATTCGCCTGCAAAATTTAAAAACCCAAAAAGTATATTTAATCTGCAATCCAATTAATATTTATATTGATTGGATTAAAGATTAAAACAATTATTAATAACAATTCTAAAAAATATACAAACATATCAAATATAATTTCATGTCAATACGCTGTCTTGCTTTTTCACTTCATTATGCTTTTTCACTTCTATAGTGTTTTTTATTTTGATATTATATATTTATTTTGAAATCATATAGTGAAGGAGCATTAATTGCTTATTGTTTTTACGTTTAATTAGGGCAATAAATAACTTATAGTTACGATTTTATGGCTATGAAATTTGTATGCACGTAATATGTGGGATAAAGAAGGGTATGGGCTACATTTTATCTCAATCAGTAAACATACCTGCTCACTCGGACAAAGTCGTGGATAAAAGCTAGTATTATAAAAATAATGTATTATTATGACTAATTTTTGATAAGGTTTTTTACCTTATCGATTTCTAGAAACTACTATTTATAGAACATTAATAGGTATGTTGAGGTCGCAAGTACGATTCCGTACCTTCGACGTCAATGAAATTTCCCATTTGTTGGTCAATAATGTAAACCGGCTAAGTGTGAGTCGCTCTCTTGAATCTCAAGGTTTTGTTATTTATTTATGAGCAGTGGTAAAATAATCAATGTACATTATAATTTACACTGAATTATGATAAACTCGTTTGTTTAACAATAAGTGATAATTTGATTTAGCTGTTTATAAGGTTCAGTGACAATGAAAAGTTACATGTTAAACACCTATACAGAAGATGTAAGTATAGAATACTCTATTTTTTGTTCAATCGAAAACTCACTGTTCTTACAAGTAATAAACTTTGGCGATTTTTAATCGTAATTGGGGGTGGAATTTAAATTCAGTTCTTGCTGTTGTATCACGCGATATCATCGGCAATTCTACCGATTTTGATCGTTCTTTTTGCAATGTTCTACTGTTTGTATAAAGGATTGTGTTCTGAGGAAATGATAACTATAACCACCTTTTATAATCGCAAGTTTCGTGTTAAACAGTACGGTTTCAAAGGAATTTTCACATGCGAAAGCTTAGGCCGTGGAATGAGTTCCCTGCTGAGGTTTTCCCCAGATAATATAGTATGGTATTCTTCAAAAACAAGTATATTAAAGTTCCTTCAGGGTCTGCAATGCACATGTGACGTCCCTACAGTTGCAGGCGTCCTTAGGCTGCAGTAACTGTTTACCAATAGACGGGCTGTATGCTTCGGTTCTACCATGAAATGAAATTCCGAAATTTTGGACTCAATTTCGTGTTTTTGTTTATACCAAAATCGGACCAATAAATAGAGTTTAACATTTCGTTCGTCATACATCCTATCATAAAAGTCCAAAGGAATATTTTGACATTTTTAATATTTCCAAACGGCATGTATTATGTAATTTAAACATCAAATTTCTGTTTCGTTTGGCTCCGAAATTTTGGAAAACACTTTATGGTAGGCCCTCTTGTTTATCATCTTCGTGGTATAAAAAAGAATACATATTTTTCCATGTTTGTTACATAATAACTTTTGTAATGAGTAAAATAGTGTGAATATTTATCGAAATACTTTACCAATAAACATATAAAATTTACATGTTAATATATAAAATTATTGATGTTTAACATTTTTAAAACATCTCTAAGTATTATATAATATACCCTAAGAGGTAAGCTTATATTTAACAGTGGATAGTTATAGGCTGATATGATGATGATGAATTTATTTAGTTATTACAACATTTTAAAAAATGGAGAGATAAACTCTTCCAATGTTTCAATAATTTGAAAGCATCTTACAAAAGTGGTAAGTACCTAAACAATTGAATACCTATATTTAACTATTATATTTTATGAAGGTACGCATAATGACACCGTATTCTCCTGAGATGATAATAAAGTCTTCACTTCTATCTGTTCTCTTTTAACCATTAGCGATAAGACCGCCTTTTGTACCTTTGTGTATATTTCAATCTGTATTTATGTTACTGTATTTCACTTGAATTATTCAATAAAGAGTTAAATAAATAAATAAAGTCTTACTACCTCGAAAGGTTGTGCTATATATAATATATACCTATTATTTTATGAGAATCAATCATAATTTGAAGTTATGAAACACTAACATAACATTTATAACTGGCTGACAAAAAAATTACAATGGTTTTGTTTTATTCACTTGATTACGGAACATTTAAAATGCAAGCAAAAGTAAATTATGAACTTTCTTTTCTAATGTAGGTAAATAACTTAATGGGTAAACAGAAACAGATAGGTAGGTACATACAGGGCAAAAATTGGATAAGTATTCTATCTGAACATTTAGAACGGGATGGGGCATTGTTAATCATGTATTAGTGCCTTTAACTACTTGCAATGTCAGGTCTACCTTTACAAATCGCCCATCATAATGAATTTATTAAGAATTAAAAGGGGAATATCTTAAAGAATTCGTCATGATGGGCGATTTGTGAAGGTCGATCTGATAAGGCATATTGCAAGCATTAAGGTAGCCCAAATTATTAAATAATCTCCCATACTTTCATTCTCACCTATCATCCCTCACTGGTACCTCGCAAACATATATAGACAGCGCAGATGGAATTATCATTCCATTATAATCTATTAAAACAGGTAAACATTTTTTCCAAAGAAATATGTATAAAAAATTACATGTTTTCTTGACTCACATTTGTTTTGGAATAAATGTTCATTTTGGTGGCAGAATACGTCTTTAAGAGAATACTGTTAATTTTAATGTCACATTATAAATTGAATATAATGTAAAAGAACTTCCGAATTCTCTAGTATAGTATATAATAACAGCTTACCATTAGGTGGGCCGTAAGCTTATTTGTCACCTCAGTGGTATAAAAAAAGTTTTATGTTATCTGTGGTATTCTAATAAATAGCTAAAAGTTTGGATGCAAATAGCGTAACGAGTCGTAGTTGAATACGATCCATGGTAACTTCTTAACCGCAAATATTATTGTCCGCTTTGCTAAGATACCAGTAATATTATAATCGCTTCCAAGAAACTTTTAATTCAGATACAAATACATGGATCAAAATATTTTTATAAATGGAAATAATAAATACTTTATTTATTTGACGCATTAAAGGAATTTTTATGTTTATTGGGTATTTCATATAATCAAGGTTCAAAATGTATAGATTTATACCAGAGGGAGACTTTGTACAAAAGTCGATTGCTTGGGTATCTCTGTCCCATTCGTGTTTCTACCGTGAAGCAGTTGTGTTTGCATGGCTGTGTTTCAGTTTGAAGGGTAGGATATGGCGTGAATTTATAGGGTACAGAGGAATAACATCTGAGTCCTCAGGAAGGGCAACGTATGGGGGGTATCATTAGCATAACAGTATACTCTGTTAAGTCCATGGTACTGCTCATTTCTATAGGCGACAGTTACCACTTTCCATTAGGTTGTATAAAAAAAAAGTATCTAAGGCGTCAGAAAGGGACCGTTAATCTAATTTATCCGTAAGGAAGAGGCGCACTAAATATAGCCATACCTTTATTCGCTACCAGGACCGGAGTACCACACAATATAGTAATCCTATTGCTAGCAATATACCCCATCAGTTCTAGATCGATGCGGTTTTCTCTGGAAAGCGTGGTTAATTCTTGGTGAATTCGTCACGATGAGATGATCTATGTTGGTTCTCGTCTACTATCATCCCTCCAGCGTATATCGTAGGCGAGATTACCATTTATTATCATACATTAGAAATATATATTATGAAGTCTTGAAAACAGAAAACATGAATAATTGACCTGATAATAAACAGCCCAATATCCTATAGTAGTACAAATAAAAAATATACTTAATCGATTATTTTGATTTCTTACTAATTTTATTAAGAATGATATATTCAACTAAACAAAATTGGTTTGACGTTTCATGATTTTCTATCTTGAGAGATTGTAGATGTTTATATTAGACATTTTTCTATGTATCCGTAGGTATTTTACAATATACTGAGGAATTAATTAAAATAAAAGTCAGGAAATAAACGTTTCTTTTTATTAAACAATGAACTAAACAGTTTTAAAATAATATTAAATACAAATTAATAATAAAATTATGATAATATACAAATTAACAACATGTCAAATTTTGTGCCAACTAGCCGATTGAGAGCTACCGCTTGAGACTGTTATAAGAAACAGATGGCGCTAATGAGTTAATACAGTTAAATGTATTAATCAATTCATTTTTGACGATATTATACATATTAAAGAATAAATTAAAAAAAAAAAAAAACAATTACACCAAATGCTTGATCCCCATATAACCCAATGATATGAAAAATCAATACAATATTTATACTTCACACCGATAAAAAATGATAACCAACATCGAAGGACATTCAGGTCAGTATGTAATTTACGGGCGGGAGCCTAACAGTCCTAATGCTGGCAATTACCCTAAAAATATCCTATTGGTTTCCTCTCCACACATGGTTCCCTCTGGAAACCATTGTGATTAATTTTTAAATTCGAATGATGAGCTCACTGACCTGCTTTTATCTCTTACCAACCTTCACTGGTGCCTCGCCAGCGTAGCAGAATATAGTGCACGTAAGGCTACCATTCCATTTTCACTCATTAAAAAAAATAACATAATTTACACAAAAGTTTCCTTTAACTCTCATAATAATTAAAAGTAAAATAAACGAGTTCCTCGAATTTTATTAAAAAATACTAGTCACATAAGAAATCAATTGCAAAAGAGGGGACATTATAAGTTTGAATTTTTTAATTAAGAAAAAAAAATATTGAAAATTTGCACATGCGTTGATTTTGATCAAACTCTAAAGACAAAGGATCCATAATTAGTTATGGGCCCATCAAAGTATTAGTACTTTTCCGATACAAAATATGGTGTACAACTACTATCGTAAATTTACAAAATAATATTTATTTTAGAATTCAGTACAGTGACCTTCCCTTATAAGTTAAATTAGAAAAACCATACCACTTACTTGAAGAGCAGAAGGATAAATTTTGGCGAATTCACAAAGTATATAAATGTGTATATATTAACGCACTAGCGCCATCTCTATCGTACAATAGACGTTATGGGGTTAACAGATTTTCAGAAGTGTACGGGTTAGGAAGGGTATGGCAACACTGTTATTTGCTTCCGAATCCCGTACTTACCTCAACAACCGATTTTATGAAGCGGTAGTCTCACTTATATGTATTTAAACAAATATTTGTGATAGTTTAAACATCTTTGGCACTGTTCCACAGTGTCACCATGCAGGTGATCTCCAAGCATGAAAACTTTTTTAATACACATTGCCATTTATTGTGCAAATTTTAAATCTTTGACGAATTATAAATTTCTTCATTCTTTAAATTAAAGGAAATAAAAGATCTAAGTAACTAAGAGATAAGAGTAATAGGATTGAAAAGCAAGTTCCCATTATGATTTTGTAACAGAAAATGTAATATTATGACAGTTTTTAATATGTTACAGTCATAAAACATATAGTTATATATTTATGGTAAGAGTGACAAATGGTTACGATGATAAATTGCATACTATCTAACAAATTAATTAGTATTACGCTTAGACAAACAAGTATTATACGTATTACTAATTACTATGTTATGACTAAGACATAGGCATGTAATATTTAAGCTCTATTATTGCAAATAAACAGACATCAAGGTAGACAAGTTATAAAATACAAGAAATGCAGTGGTGCAATACAAACCAAAACATGCCCAATTTCACATTACTTTTCGTTTTTGTATTTTTAAACACAATTTATTTGTTCAATTATTTGCTAACTTTTCAGTCACTAGTCATCTACCATTATATAAAAAATAAAATTGTGATGTGGTATAATTAAAGAGTATTTTTTTTTAATTATACTACTATGTGATGTTTAATCAGGTAGAACTAATTTTAATACAGGCATAAAAATTTATATATATGAACCATATTTTGCTGAAACATTCTCAATATAGTTAATTAATAATTGCCAAGTGTTATTTACAATACCTAAACATATTGTTAACTGAAAGTCAATTTTTTAGATTACTTTTCAAATATATACTTTAATGGTATTTCTATATACATGTACCACAGAACAGAAAAACAGGATTTTTAATTAGGATTATTTAGGTCTTTTTTTCTAACAATAGAATATACTATATATAGGACGTAAAACCTTTCCTATTAGATACCTAGGTTACATATGGATCCTGAGCAAATTGCAAATTTTTAAATGATATAATAAATTCCATATTTAATAGGTGGTTTTAATCCATCATCTCATTACATTTCTTACATTGTCGTAATACAAAAAGAGAACTAAATGCCAGCAGCTCTACACTTACATCGTTTACATCCAAAATTTCATAATTTCTTTCATATATACACAATTATGGACACTATCGACTTTTCTTTAAGACAATTCTGAATTTTCTCGTGATAATGACATTTCCAAGTATATTAATACCTTATATTTCATTCCCTAAAATTATCAATACATTTTTAATATAAATTTAATGGATGTACTAAATGAAACTGTCGTTCTGCTCTGCTGTACCCATCTATAAACACATTGAAAACAAAATCTAAAACTCTTGCTTCCGTCAATATGACTATAAAAAGCATACCTTACCCAATGTACGGCATACAAACCCCCACAATAATATGATAATATTATGGTAACATATTCACTAAGCACCATAGTCTATAACGCGTTGTCGAAATGCGTCGAAATTACGTCATAAGTAGGAACTACATGAGGTTACACTGACTCGGGTCTTGGCCGACGGGGGCAGCGAATCCCGCGGGGGGCACCCCAATATCGCCAACAAGCTCTGTGGGCGGTTGGCCTAAATCTTGCATCTGAAAATTAATTACATTACATTAGTTTTTAAACGACTTTCAAAGGATGTTCCCCATTAGTATACTTCTTTTTCAACTACATTACATTGCTAATACTGAATTAATTTTGACATATATATATATTTGCAATTGGCAGAGTTTACTCAGACGGATTTTTGTAGAACAAAAACTTTAATCATTCTCTTTATATTATACATCTATTAATTTTAAATTTTTACGTTGTTTACATAAACGTTAAAATACACAATCGGGACTTAACGCGATGTAAAAAGAACTTAGCAGGTAAATAGTATCGACTTCTGTATTGCCGACGTTTCGACGTGGAATGCACCACGTCGTGGTCACGACAGGACAGACACTTTTTTTTAATTATACATCTGATTCGTCAAACTTTTATATAAGTCTGAGCCAAAGTAGGATGACCTTCTTCATTTTTACTCTGACATGGGTTAAAATAATAATTCATTATCCATTAAGAGCATCAATCAAGTGTCATCTACACTATAGCTTACAACAAAGCTATAACAAAGTTCAGTTTTAATTGTCTTTTCCACTTTACCTGATCTTTGATATTCATTTCAGATAAACCATAAATAAGGAATGTAAAGGTGGAAACTTGATGTGAGAATATGAAAACCAACCTTTTGCATGAGATCTAGGACCTTCTCAAACCGCTTCCTCTTGACGTCGTCAGGATCTGATTCTTGTTCCGGTTCTAATTCCGCACAGACCTGCTGCATTAGACGCTGCTGTTTTTCAAACCTGAAGATACAGTATATATATTTTATACATTTGGAATGACAAAATATATATTGGCTCTATAACGAATATGTTAAAAATTATACACATATCAAAATGGAGAACATGAACTATATGAATATAGATATTTGACTGGTATAGGCGATATCGAAATGGATGATGATGGATCATCTTTTTACGCCATCAGCATCCAGATTAATCCAATATACAGATATCGGAATGATACTGATACTAATGACTAACATGAAGTTCATCCAGTGTATGATTTCAAAGGACTAAATTGTTATACCTCCTTATCCTCAAATTTCACTGCCATTATCTTTCAAACCGAATTACAGCAGTGATACACAGGATATCTGCACCACTATAGCAGTCATAAACTGTGATGTTTGATGGTATAAACTCAAATGGGGTAGTGGCATCCACAAAGACAACCTTTACATAAAGTTTTCCTCACATATTATTTATATTATGATGGTAAACAAGAATACGGTCTATTTAATAATAAATAGTTACCGTTAAATATAAACTATGATTGCCCGCAACACTAAAGATATCACGCGCATGTTGCCGACCTTTAAAAAACCTTGTTACACCATTTTTAAGGACCCCATAATATGTGTTATTACAATAGACGTCTGTAATTTTATTAAACCATTTCTAACAATTATTTTACTATTAAAAAGCTTATAAGGTTTTGTCCTTAAACATTATTTTACCTTTCATACTCAGCCTGATCAATCTTCCCCTTGTTTTCAGCCAGCCATGTTGGATACTTGTCTACTAGCTCCTTCAAGGAAGGATATAAAACTTCCTTTGAGAGTAATGACTGCATCATGCCTTGCATGAATGGAACAAACATATTATTCCCATCCTGTAAAATAATAAGAACATATATTAATATAAGTTCATGGTGCAAGCTAATATTCTAATAGTATGTTTACCAAAAATGACAAACATGATCAATCTTCTCTTAAACAGTAATTGTTGGCTAGAAACATGAAGCTATTAATAGTGTCACTTTAAATTTAGAATATATAGATGTCTTCTCCCATTAATTAATTCTAAACCATTTTCATTATGTACAAATTTTGATGTATTTATTGTTAATATAAAGTAGTGCTCTCTATATACAAATAGTTACAATACACTCTGCGTTATAGAGGATCAGCTATAGTGTTTATTATAATTTCAGTTTAATTTAACAAGAGAGTTAATTACCAAAGAGTTAGTTTGATTTGAATATAATACAGCTAAAAATTGATACCTGTTCACCTTCTCCCAAGTTGAAGTTACTAAACATATTTGCAAAATCTTGTTCAGAGAAAGGCGTCTGAAGATTTTCCGAATTTGTATTTAAATTTTGCAATGTCTGAGATATCGCTGCCGATACCTGAAAAAATTAAACATTAATAATTATTAAAACAAAATCTTTTTTATATCACAAAGGTGGCAAACAAGCATACAGCTTGTCTGATGGTGAACAGTCACTGTAGTCTATGGACACCTGCAACATTAGGGGTGTCACATGCGCGTTGTCAATCTTGAAGAAACCTTAATATCCCTTTTCGAAGAACTCCATACTTATAATATATATATCCCATATTTGAAGTGACCATAAAACATTGTAAGCTTTCTCTTGATATAATTCAAATTCTGCTTGTGCGTTGCCGGCCTTTTAACTCTTTGTAGGTACGCTTTTTTAATGAAATGTTTAATTTTGATTTCTTCAAGGATGATATCGGTATGAACGGGTTTCCATTGTAACATTGGAGTTACGATTTATAGATTGTTTGGTTCATATCTGGCTATATTTGACCCAAACATACTAATTACTGGTAAAGTAAAAAAAAATTATAGGAGACATTATTATAAGCGTATACACGTTCTGTAAGAACCTTAAAATTCGTATGACGTATTCGTTATATCTGTGTGGCAACCGTCATAAATGGTCATTTACATATGTCATTCAACTCTGACCTACGACGGTGACAAGCAAGCGTGGTAGCAGCGTAAGTATATATATGACTTTAGGGTTGTCCATTTAATGTATCAGCATTAGACCAACATAACACCTGATCGATTACGAAAACTCATTTTACTTAATAAAAACGCATTGACTACAGATCACCCAAGATCTTATATTGTCTATTTTCTCTTACAAGTTTAAAATAAAACATGTGTTCCTCAGGTAAGGTTCATTATTTTTACCACGATTTTGAGGTAAGGCAATGTTTGTTTAGCACCAAAGCACTAAATGGTTATTGATTTTTATTGTCTACCATTTAATATATGACATCTCAGTCTTCTGAAGTGGAAAGAAATTAAATATTCTATGGGTACATTGTGATATTTATGGGGTAATTTATATCTTAAGTAAATAATAATAATTTTCCATTAGGTAAGCCGTCAGCTACTACGTATTATTAAAATACTAACAATAAATTTGTAAAAAGTAATGATTGCTTTACAAATCAAATAACCAACCTCATCAATTTTGCCCTGAATTGCAGGTTCTTCAGTAGAGGCTGATTCGCCTTCAGCATTCGCCGGTTTCAGGACTTGAGCTGCGGCTTCTGATAACGGAAAATTCATTATAAAAAATCATCAAAAACTACTTGAAGCTATATTAGCTTTATATAGTTTCTGACGAGTCTTAACTTCAGTTTTCAGTTAGTATGTTTGGGTCAGTAGATAATCTTAAAAGTAAAATACAGTTCCCATTAGGATATATATATTTTAATGGGCATAAGCATATTTTAAGGACATTTTCATTTTTTGATCCATGTGAGGTAGACAACAGCGTTTATAATTGTTTAGTTTATGGTAATCATTATCTTTTATAATTTATGGTAGAGGTCAAAATTAAAGGCAAAACCATTATGTAATTGGCATATAAGGTTAAACACAAATTGATATTAATGGTGATAAATTAATTTACTATTTTGTCAGTGTGTGATTTAATAAACAGATTCTGAAACCTAGATAAAGATATGGATTTTTGATTTTTTTTTATCTACATACATATATACATATCTATCATACTTTTTTAACTGTAGTCTGTAATAATACTATTTCCTACTCACCAGCCATTTTAGTGAAGGTTTGTGCAATTTGTTCCTGTGTAATTTGGTCCTCTGAAAAGAAAATATATTTTTATAAGTATATTTATTGCATAAATAATTGTAGATTAAACATAAGTAGTTTTTTTATAGATGACAATTCAATGGTAACCTTGACTGCATTAATTGTTTACACTGACAGGATGAATGATATGTAAGAATGAAGTCAGGTCAGTAAGTCTATATTATAGTATAATTTATTTATTGTTCAAAATTTAAGTATAATGATTTCCAGAAGGGACTGTAATATATCCAATATTGCTAGCAATGAGGTTGAATGTAGATTATCCTGCAATTCTGGGGTACTGAGTCAGGGTCTGAGAGTACTTTATACAACTAGAATAAGATTATACTGAATTTAAGCAAGAGTTCAGTTAAAAGTTTTATATACCTGGTACTCCACTAAAATTTCCCAAAATGGCTGCCATATTGCTCTCAAACTGTGCCGCTGCCTCTTTAATGAAGTCCTCACTCCACATGTTCTGTGGAATTTCTCCAGAACCTTCCCCACTAGGTTCTTCTTTCTTCACATCCTTCTTTGTCATGTCTTGGAGAGCACCTAGATATAGTTATTCAGAATAAATATGGGATAGGATATAAGAGTGAAATTAGGAATGATAGCACATGAGGAGTACCATCGGTGCCCCAATGTATTGTGTTTATATGTGTATTCTGTAAGATCAGCAATGCTGTTCATATTTATAAATGAATGTTATCACTATCCATCAGGTGGATCATTAACATAGTTCACTATTCAAAATAAAAAAAAAATAAATTTAATAGAATATTATTATAGTAAAGAAACAAAATGTGAGTAAACATTTATTTTTACAATATTCTAAATATTATTAAAATATAAAGAGAAAATAATATAAGTATTTTATGTACATTTTTATTAAGTACATAAAAAAATTAGCAAACTTATTGCAATACAAATTTGCTGGTCACATTATTCTCACTGGCATCATGTCATCATTCCAAGCAGTTGTGTGTGAGTGTGTGAGTTTCCCTTAGATACTTAATGTCTTACAAGTTTTAGCCCAGAATAATTTAATGTAAAATCACAAACTTTATTGCCATTGTTACTAATACAATAAATGTGAAAGTGAGTTTGTTAGTTTGTTTTCTATTAGAGCTTTAGTGGCTTAAGAAGTCATGATGAAATTTGATATACACATACTAATGCCTCTTGTACTATAATTTTTGAAATTCCTTTAACATTTCAAGTAATATTGGTGAAATAAAGTGTTAAATAAATAAACAATGAAGGACATAGGCTATTATTATTGCCAATCAATATAACTTAGTTATACAAACCAAGTTGTGGGTAAAAGATAGTTCTTTAAAAGAGTAGATATAACTTTACATGAATAGTTTAGAATAAAAGTTCCATAAATATTAATCTAGTATCCTGTTTTTTTATGTACCAAATCTATATTTAGTTTAAAAGAATTTGAAAATATTCAGTATCCTTATAAGTGTAGGTAGACCTACCATTAGAAATTGAATTTTAGTTCTACTCACATACAATTTTTCTTTTCTATAACAATGTCTTTAGATATTAGAATAAAAAGGAGCCTATATTCTTCATGCGACTTGTTATGTATATCACAAATTGTTCATGAAGTTGCATGTTAATATCAACAAATAACAAAATAACATTCATATTTATAATAATTATTAGTAAGAATAAGGATTTTTTTAATTTAAGTATTCTCTTACCGAGACAACTAATTCATGTATTATTTTCCAACCAGCTCTATCCCAGGTCATATCTTTGACCTCCATTTATGGCATGACACCTAGTGTTTCCTTGATCTGTCCCATATAGTTAATTTAAGGATTATGTACAGGTAAATTTTGTTTGTTTGTATATTTTCTTGGTTTCTATTTCTGATACTAATAAATAGGTTGAGCCAACCGATAAAAAACCACACGATAGGTGCAATCTGAGCTGAGGTGATATCTGAGCAATTATATGACAACTATTTCCTAAGAAAATTTCTTCGAGAACGAGAGATATGATATTTGCACCAGCGAAGTTGCGGTAAACAAGTAATTAATAAAAATCACATAATCATTAAATTATAGAATTTTAAGAATGACAAAAATTAGGTTATGTATTGTGTAATAAGAGATATGAGTAAACAAAAGAATAGTGGCCACTTACTATCCAAGAGATCATCTAACTCTGGGTCGACTTCCTTATTAGCTGCATCTTTGTTATCCGACATTATTAATTTTGTTAAAATTTTAATAAATAATTGAATGAACCAATTTCAGGAAATAGACTTCAGACTTTTCAGCTGTCGCCTGACTTGACAATTATGACATTGACATATTTATTTTTTTTTTTTTTTCTTTTTTTGTGGCGTTCACCCCGATATTAGGGTATTTTGCCAAGAACAAAACGGGGAAACGATAATAGTAATAAAAATACCTAACACAAACGAATTTAGAAAGGATAAGGATTAGGTCTAGGATATTTATAGGATATGAAACATATACTTGTACATATGAGAATATACTTATAAATATATAGGAAAAGCAATTGATGCAACTATAAATGTATTCATGTAATATAACTAAATCTTAATATTGTTATCATATATATATGAAGATAGTATTTTATAGATAATAGGATCATTGGAAGAAAGTAGAGTAAGAATAGAAGTTGGGAATGGAACACGGATGGATCGGAGATGATTAAAAAGGGAGGTGTGGTCAAATTTAGAACATGAGAAGAATATATGATTCAAGTCCGCCACTTCAGCACCGCAATTACACGACGAACTTTGTACAATACCAAGCTTGTATAAATGAGAAGGTGTGCATACGTGACCTAGACGCATACGAGTTATAATAGTTGTTGCGGTCTTTCCAAGCTTTAATTTACAAAACCATGGTTTGAAAGGAATATCGGGTTGTATAAGGCGATAAAATCTTCCTTTTATTGTACTTGTTTTTTCCCAATATTCCTTCCAGGCATACCTTAAATATATTTTTGGGAGACAAGCTAGGTCACTACAGTAATTATGATACGGATACATATCACCACAAGTTACAGCCTCTCTTGCAATAAGGTCAGCTTTGTCATTGCCGCTAATACCACTGTGTCCTGGTAACCAGGCAAAAGAAACGGAATAACCTCTCAACATGCAAAGATAAAGACTTTGTCTTATGTCACAAATAATGGGATAAACTGGTTTTGATTTAAACGGATATTTGGCTAGAGCTTGCAAAGAGCTCATAGAGTCAGTGAAAACTATTGCCTTATGTAATTTCATTAAAAGTATATATTCTACAGCTTTTAAAATACCATAACATTCCCCGGTAAAAACTGAAGACTCCGGTGGAAGTTTAATTTTTTGAACGATATTAAATTGTGAATGAAACACACCCACACCTACACAACCGCTATTGTCTGGTTTTGATGCATCAGTAAAGATGTAGTGCCATTCATTCCATTCAATGTCAGTTATAAACATAAATTTGGCATTCAATTCTGAATCATTTTTTAATAACCCAAAATCATATTTAATATTAGGAGATAAAACTAAAGATTGATATGAGCATTTATAAATGGGAAAACAGGACGATGTAAAAGTGGGAGATTCTATGGATTTATATTTTTCATAACTTTGTATTAAACATGGAGGTTTTTTATGTTTCCAATAAGATGAAGACGAAATAAAGATATGTAGTTGAGATAACTTTTGAATAAGCGGAGGATCAGATAATTGTAAACAACGAAAAAAGAAGCGATCAGATAGATATTACCTTCTTAAAACCAAAGGTGGATCACCGACTTCGAGCTGTAAAGCATTGATTGGACTTGATTTCATTGCTCCAGAGATAATCCTCAAGGCCTTTGATTGAATTAAATCCAATTTCTTAAAAGCAAATGAACTTCCTGGAGCTAACAAAAAAGTTCCATAATCAATGACACTCCTTATAAGACCATTATAAGCAAGTTTTAGTGAAACGGGATGTGCTCCCCACCAAACTCCAGCAAGGCACCTAAGAATGTTGAGGTTACGCTCACATTTCGTAGAAATATAATTACAGTGGGACAGACCTGTTAATTTATTATCTAGCACGATACCTAAAAATTTAATTTCAGTCTTTATAGGAATGTATGAGTTATCATAAAGCACCTTAATTTGTTGCGGTGATCTCATTCTTGAAAACAAAACTACACTACTCTTGGTTACAGAAAGATTAAGACCATTTGCATCTAACCACGTTTTTAACAAATCTAATGAATCAGATAATTTGGCAGAAGCAGATTCTATGGACTTCGCAATAAAATATAATAAAAGATCATCAGCATATTGTAAAATTTTGACGGATTTATCAAGGAATAATTCTAGATCGTATGTGTATATGTTAAATAAGATTGGACTGAGAACAGATCCTTGTGGAAGGCCTTTCCATACTGTTCTAGATAATTTGGTATCTTCATCTAAATTCATATATATTGTTCTTTCTGATAAAATATTAATAATGAAATTAGAAAGCATTACCGGTACATTTAGAGCTTGTAATTTAGTTTTTAAAATAGAAATTATTACATTATCATAGGCAGAATTTATATCTAAAAAGGCTGAGAGGATTGACAAATTTTGTGAGAAAGCTATATGAATATCTGAAATAAGAATGCTCACATTATCTAAGGTGCTCTTACCTTTCCTAAAACCAAACTGGTTCGGGGATAGTAAGTTATTACTTTCTAAAAACCATTCTAGACGGTTTTTCACTAAATGTTCAGCTAGGTTTAGTAAGAAGAGGAAAGTGCAACAGGACGGTATGAAGATGGTTCAGAAGGTGGTTTATGAGGCTTTAGAAATGGTATAATAATCTGAGACTTCCATGAAGTAGGTATATTTCCCAAAATAATTATGGAATTAATTATATTTAAAAAGTAAATTAATGTCGCATCGCTAGCATTTTTAAAAAAAGAATACGGTATACCGTCTTCTCCCGGTGCAGAGTCTTTAATACAAGCTAGAACACCTTTAAGTTCTACAAGAGTAAAAGGAGACTCAAGTTCGGATAATTCGTCAGAGACGGATAGAGAAATATTGTAAAGGCATTCCGGCACATAACTAGGAGCAAGGCGATCTAAAAATTTATTCGCTAAAGTTAAATCGAGTGCAGAACGTGATGTATGATCACTAAAGGTAGATCTGAATCTTTTAATATTATTCCAAACGACTGATGAATTAACTTCTGGACAGATAGAAGAACAAAATCTTCTCCAACCTTCCAATTTCTTTTTCAGTAGTTTTCGAGTAGAACGTGAAACTGCGGTGTAAATTTCAAAATTTTCTGATGTCATGTAATTATTATAATTTTTTTCAGCCTCTTTACGATTTTTAATTGCTTCCGTACAATCTTTGTCCCACCAAGGTGGGGAGGGAATTTTCCCTGAAGCACTATTTTTAACAGGAAATAATAAATCAGCAACCTCCTTCATATTAATTATCAAGTCATTACAACATTGATGTTCATTTCCATGATAAACAATAGGTAACTCCGATATTTTATTATCTAAATATTGTTTGTAAATATTCCAGTCTACATTTGATAAATTATATTTAAGCCGAGGACCACTCTTTCGACTTGAGGGAATGGAAATTGGAAAAGAAAGAATGAGGGGAAAGTGATCGCTTCCGAAGGTAGAGGAATGAGGATACCACGACAGTGAAGAAGCTAAATCAGAAGAACATATTGAAATATCAGGAGCACTAAACCCTTCATTCGGTGCTGTTCTACGTGTCGGTACATCTGAGTTAATAATACATAAGTTGTAAGTGTCAATTATCGTCAGGAGTTTTCCACCATAAAAATTAGAAGTAGAACTGCCCCACGATTGGTGCTGAGCATTAAAATCGCCCATTACGAGAAAAGGTTTAGGTAAAATTGAAAATAATTGTTCTAGTTGTGAATATATTTGGCATGTAGGATCAGGAATATATAAAGTAACAAAACAGATACCATTTATAATTATAGCAGCTGCATTAATGCCGCTATATACAGGAAGCGAAAAAGAAGAAAAAAGAAGGGAGTTTTTGACCAATATGGCAACACCGCCATATCCGTCAGCTCTATCATCACGGAGACTTGTAAAGCCTGAAATCCTAAAAGAATATCCTGGCTTTAACCAAGTCTCTTGTAAGCTATTATAAAAGGATTATATTTATTAATCAAATAAAATAAGTCTGATTTCTTATTTGTTATGCTACGACAGTTCCACTGAATTATTTGGATTTTGTAATCCATTGTGAGAAGTTAATAATTGAGAAAATACATTGTACATGGCATCGTTGGACGGTGGTAAAGTTGTTTGTATCATTTTTGATTGCGATAACACTTTAATAAGCATGAGAATAATATCAATGATGGATTGATTATTGTCAATATTATTTGATGATAATGCACAACCATTAGAGGGAGCAGGAATATTATATTCCTTAACTATGGCTTCATGGGCAGAACGATCATATCCTTGTTGTATTTTTTGAGGAGAGCGTGGTTTAAGTGTAACTGTTTTTTTATATGATGATTGTATATGTGGTAATGATGATTTCTCTTTAAGGAAAGAAGATTGAAAATGAGATTTATTGGAAGGAGATGATGATGTTAATACATCTGAATATAGTTTAGAAGTTGGAGGATGAAATTTTGATGCTTCAGCATAAGAAACACAACTATGGGCCATTGTTTCTTTAATGGCTTTCTGACGTGCATATTCAGGACATTTTTTACTAATTGCTGAATGAGAACCATTACACAAGATACAAGAAACATTTTCCTCATCTACTTCACATTTATCACCTGTATGATTTTGCCTGCATTTATAACACCGAGGATTTGAACGACACTGCATCTTGACATGTCCGAACCTACAGCAGTTATAGCATTGGATAGTAGGGTAAATGTACAAATCTACAGTTAATGATGTGTAAAACATAAATACTCTTTTTGGCAATATTTGTCCATCAAAAGTAATAACAATGGTTTCAGTATTAATAAAACTTGGTTGTCCTTCATTAATTGTCTTTTTCTTTATTCTTCTGGTTTTTAGAATTCTCCCACAACCTATAGGTACTGATATATTTTGGATTACTTCCTCTTCTGTCCAATCTTTAGGAATACCCCTCACAATTCCCATACGGGTTACATGGAAAGAAGGTATAAATGCCTTAAAATTATGTGTCACTAAGTTACTATTATTTAAAAATGCATTTGCATTTTCAAAATTTGAGAAAGAAAGCGATAAACGGTTTCTTCCTATTCTTTTGAGGCTACCATTCACTATATTATTTATCTTATTAGTGTGTAAAAAGCGACCAAATGCAATAGGATGTAATGTAGTGTTATCATTAGGATGTGTTTCATTTTTTTGTACATGAACGACATAAGGTGCTATATCCTCGGCATTGTACAAAGTTCTGCTTAAAGTACTGGGTGGAGAAGCAGGTTTAACAGACTCGGTATTGTTTACAACTGGTATTGATACTTGAGTTTGATTCTCATCTTCAATACATTGACAATCACTATCTTTAATTTTAGATTCAAGACCCTTGGTGTGCCTCCTTCGTTTTTTATTGCAATGTTTGCAAATGCGACGTTCACCACGTACTCGCTTACGTTTAGAACTTGCAACGCTAGAACCATCTGTGTCCATACTAGATTCACCCAATATATCAAAACTATTATTGAATGGAATAGTTATATTTGCAGACACCTGGGGGGTGGTCCCCCCAGGGTCTATAGGTGGATCCATAATGTTAATATAGGTAATTTACTTACCAATATTTACAGCAACAAACACTATTACTACAAAATATACAATTAAATATACAATCTAATACACAATATATAAAAAAGACTAATCCTTATATAAATAAAAATAAAATTAATTTAAAGAAGATCAAAAAACACTCCCGCTTTTTTAAACGTTTCCCGCGCTTTTCGACATATTTATTTTGACAAAAATTTCCAACACCTCTAATGTTGCTATATACAAATTTTAAAGTACAGGAATGATAACAAGAAAAAAACCGGTGATGTACGCAATGAAATAAATTAGGGACCTGAATCATAAAAAAATAATAAAAAGAAATAGGTTTTCAATTTCCAAAATATTAAAATTTGTTCGTTGTAACTTTTTTATTACTAATTACAGATAAAATTTACCATCAACGTAGGTACTTATTATTTAACATTTGAATGTTATGTACCTACTTATTAATAATTTAAATCATAGTTATACTGCCATATTTTATATTTTGATTATTATAGTTTGTATGCAACCTATGCCGGAAAATAGCTAAGTTTTTTTTTATAAATACATAAATAAATAAGTCTAAATAGAAATTTTATATTTTTTACACGTACAAAATCTTTTATACTGCTCTCAGTAGATACACCTTCTGTTACTTACAAATATTTTTCTTATTTTGTTACTTGAATATAGAGGTTAAATGCCCAAAAATGGCAGCACTGATATGATAGTCATATGACACAATATGACAGACGAGAACAAGAGTAAGTTTATCAAATGTCGTCATACCATGGCTAAGGACATTTATCATACTATAGCATATTGTGTTAACTAATAAATTGAATAAAACTAAAATAAACATTTGTCAGTTATTAGTTATGGAAATTTATAATTAAAACAACATTCAATGGAAAACCCCTTTTGGCTTTGAGGTGAAATCTTTATTAGAATAGACTGTTTTCATTTTTAAAATACGCATAATATACGTACATATGAGAATACGTATATACCGGTTTGCACTTTAATTCATAATTAAAACATATATAATTAAATTTTAAAATAACACGCATGTACCGACGTTGAAGCCTTCCTTCAATGGGTTTTTTTTATTAATGGGTGATAGTGAAATGGTAATCCCACCTGCGCTGTCGGTATACGCTGACGGGGCACCAGTGATAGATGGTACGTGTGGATGAAAGCAGGTCAGTTGGCCCATCGTGAAAAATTCAACAAGCACCAATTAAATTAATTAATTAGGGTATATTGCTAGTAATGGAGCTGTTAGAATCTATTACTAACAATCGCTTCCCAAGTCAACGGGTAGAGGTGCTGAGACCTGGATAATTTTTACAGGACAGCGTACTTTTTATTATTGGTTGAAAAAGCTATTATAGTATGCTCGTCTATGTTATCGGTATATGCTAGTAGGGCACCAGTGATAGTGATGACTGCAAATTCGTTGGCCCATCGTGACGAATTCATCATCAAAAATGGTTTCCAGGGAGAACCGCGTTGAAGTCGTCTTAATAAGGTATATTTTGAAGCAAATAATAAAAAGTATCTATCTATATTGGGAATATTGCTAGTAATAGCGCAGCTAGTCGCTTATTCGCCGCTTCCGGTTACCTTTTTTCTAGCACGAATCTAAATCTTATCTAGAGGCGACAGGTAGACTAAGCCAATCTTTATTAATAAATTAAGTTCCTAATTAAGCACCAGATACCAATATAAACTTACAAAGATAAATTATTATATAATTACCTATTTAAATGTAAAATAGATAAATCGCATGTTGAGGAAATAGGTTAGTACCTACATATTTATTATATATTATTGCATATATTCTGCCATGTGGACCTGGCATCGAATAAGCCACCCCTTCTTTTCCCAAGGGCGTCGTAAAAGTAACAGAGGGGAGCAGCATCCTCTTAAAACATCACCAAAAGCCTAACTAACTAATCAGTGGACAGTTAACGGCTAATATGATGATTATGACGATAATGATTATATATATATATATATATATATATATATATATATATATATATATATATATATATATATATATATATATATATATATATATATATATATATATATATATATATATATATATATATATATATATATATATATATATATATATATATATATATATATAACAATAAAACTATTTGTTCAATTTAGATTTTTTATTTCTCGGAACATAAATGAGTTGTCGTGGTTAAGACTAAGACACATTACTACAGATAAATAAAAAAAAAAACATTATATTTATGATGACAGATAAGTTATAAATTCTTCAGCGTTGACTTTGTTAATTGGCGATAAACTCTTCAGCGCGTCATCCAAGTAGTGAACTGATGAGGTGATGATGTGCAGATTGGAATAGAATATCCAAGCCAAAATTCCATAAAATAATATTTGTACAACAACATCCAGTACATAGCGGCTGAAACAAATATGGTATTTTCTATTAATATCTGTTAGGAAATAACTATTGGTTCTACAGAGTGATTAATACACATCTCGGACAATACCTTCATTAAATATTTTATATTATAATCTTATATGACGATATACATATCTTCATTAAAATTCACAGAATGGGAATTGGAGATTTCCTAGATTTGATGGACGAAAATAAAATGGTAACTCCGCCTGCGCAAACACCAATAGGTAAGTATAGAATTAGATTAATTGACCTATATAATATATGAAATGAGGTTCCCTTTGAGTTTTTTCCAAGGTACTGCAGCATGAGGTTTTTTAAAAAAAGGATAAATAGGTTTCTTCAGAGTCGGCAAAGCGTGTGTAATGCCTTTGGTTTTGCAGGCTTTCATAGACTAAGGTAACCGCTTAGCATTTGGTGGGCGTGTGTTTTTTTGCCACATCAGTGCTATTAAAAAAATAGTTTCATCATCCATCCATCCATCATTACATTTCATTTTCAGGGGAGATCGAACTATCAGTGTTTTTTACTAGCATTGGCACCACTAGTCTCTATTACTAATAATTCTGTCCAGGGCAGGCATGAATTAAGGAGTAAAGATTCTTAAGATATTACGTCAAAATTTATAATTATCCTTGTCTGACTTATATTTACATTAATATGCATTAAATAAACACAAAACTTACATTTTCGCCAATTTGCGAGCTCTTGGAATTGTCGATGGATCTTCTTTACAGCAAAACTGTCTGGCACCTAATATATAATCTCTCAAATATTCATTGGCATTCAAATTACTGAGATCTGTATAAAAAGCCTCGTTGTCTTCTTTGCTTACTCGTGTACGAAGAGACTTGAAATTGTCGTTCTTGAAGTACCACTCTTTTGTCGTGTAGTACTGAAGTACACCTAAACCGTGGCTTATACGTTTTTGAACATTAATTAAACTGAAAATAAATAAACTGTGTTTACACTTGATACATTAATATTTCAAATTCATGCAGATGCTGTGCTTAAAACAAAAATTTAATATTTTCACAGTCTTGAAAGACCTTTCTTAATGCCCAATCTAGCCAGGCTGTCTTCGTTGTACACAAAGGACTTTAACGTTGCATTCTGGGCGTTTATCAGAATGCAATTTACGTGTTCTCTGATGAAGACAGTAATAATTATTTTAAATCGATCTAAAGATAAATTTCTTAATTTAGAGGCTTAATTTGATGTTCGATCTTAAGATCCTGAACCGCAATGAAATCTACTCTGAAAGAGCGGTGAATTTATTTTACCGCGCTCAGTTTTTGCCTGGAAGACTCCCTTGATGGAGTCCTGATCTTAAAGTAGAATATACTTACAAAGTTTTTCTTCCCATCAAAAACAGGATACCATCCACTAAATAGGCAGGTATAATGTGATAAAAGAAAACGCAGATTTGGTGATGCCAGTAATATGACTTAATAGTACCACCACGATGCCACAGAGCCACGGTATGCGGATATTTGTCCACCCATTTTTCACCTGAAAATTAAATATTAAAATGTATATATATTCTTTTTATACCACAAAGGCGGCAAACAAGCATACAGCCCGTCTGATGGTAAAAGGTCACTGTAGTTTATGAACGCCTGCAACAACATTACGTGCAGGTTGCCGACCCTGAAGAAATTTTAATATACCCTTTTTGAAGAGCCCTATACTATAGTATCTAGGGATAATCTTAGTAGGTAGGTTGGAACTCATTAGACAGCCTGAGCGTTCGTGAAAGATAATTTGTATACACACACTGTACGTGATCATTTCAATAACAATTAGATATATCTAAAATTAAGAACGTAAGTTTAGATTAAGTTTTTTTCTATACCACAGAAATGGCATACAAGTATACGGCCAACCATTGCTAATTGATAACCGTAGTCTATAAACGCCTACAGTACCAGGGGTATTACGCGCATCACATTATTGTAATACATTTGTGTCTGATTCTCATTAGAGAGAAATCAGTGCTGACACGCTGCTGTCGTATGAATTGGACAACAGTTTAGGAATTTATATATAATATATTATGTATCATCAATAATTCAAAATTTCCCGCTGCGTGGAAAAATAATGCGATAAACTAGATTTAATTTTAGATAAATATTGAGATATGACTTCAGTACTTACCTAATTTTATTATTTCGCCCCAAGTTATCTTTATAATTCTGGACAGTGTTACATTATAAAATGTAACTTTTTTAGGCCTAAAAATAAATAACAGAATTTTATTAAAGGTAATATTTTTATTAAACTCTTAACAATTGTTTGAAGTTTTTAGTATAAGTACTAGTAGTAATAATTTTGCCTTATGTAAAGAAAACCGTTGATTCGTGAAAAGCCATTACAACGGTAAATGATTATATAAAAACTACTTACTTGTCTAAAGCGGTAACATAAGCAATAAGTAGACATGCATTAACTACAATATCGACAGCTATCGCATCGACTGTATACGTCGGTTCGCAATGCATTGTACGTATAACACCTAAAAAGAGACATGGAAGAATTAGTACACAAAAGGATTGAATCCACAAAAACTATTGTTAAAACTAGTTATTTTGATTTAAAAACTAAACTACTGAACCGATTTTGATAAAATTTCTATAGGACCAATTTGAAAGTGTATCCATTCAGATAAAAAAGAATTTTTTAAATCGGTTTCTAAATAATGGAGTTATGAGGTAACAATAATAAAAAAGCAACCAAATTAAGGATCTCTTCTTTTTTTCAAGTGTGTTCGAATACTTCCTAATAAGATGATATTTTTTTTATTTCTATATCATTCTGTATATACTTGAACAAGTCTATAGAGTATGTAAGCAAATTCGAAGATCTCAAGAGAACAGGGAGTACTGTTCTTCAACCTTCCTTGATATAAAACCGACATTTGACAAGGTATGGCATAAGACATTTGATTTTAAGTCGAAAACCAGTCTACTACATAGCTACTACTTGCTCATGAGTTCGTACCCTTCTGAAAAAATATTCAAGTGCTTGAGGATGAAGATACATTTAAGTTCCACGAAATTAAAGCAGGCGTGCTTCAACGATCAGTACTTGGTCCAGTGCTATACACCCTGTGTACTGCAGATCTTTCTGAGATCGAGAAAGTTACTATTGCCACTGATACCGATGATACCGTTCTATCAACAAGTATATAGCGGAGACCCTATTGAAGTTTCAGGTATTACAAAAAAGACAATGTGCACTCCCCGTGCATGCGACTCGAATATTAGCATGATACAAAGGCTGCAAATATATATACTGAGAAATATAACAAACGTGTTATGGTTTATTACAAATAATGATATACATGTACCTCTGAAAATGAAAACAGTTAAGGACAAATAAAGTTTACAGCTGATAGATATAAACATCGATGATTATTTAATCATCCTAACTAACTTGCCACACAGCTGACTCATATTTTATACCAAAAACGTTTAAAATAACACAACATATAGGAACTGATGAATAAAGCTTAAAAAAATTCTGTATATAATAAAGTTTTGATTATTACCTTTGCCGCCTCCAATAAGAAGACCAGTGGCTCCATTCAAATTGTCCACCCATCCAGGTATCGGCTCCTTCCATGCAGAAGTCACTAGAAAAGAACGTTTTAATAAAATCTTTTTTTCGTATAGAAAACTATAATTAAATATTATATACAAAATAATGACAAGTATTGTAGTTTATTAAGTGTTTTTGAATGCAATGATGGATCTGTTATACTACATTATGTTATTCCAACGATGGTAAGTTTGAATTTGCTAAAGCCATAAACAAATTTATGTCACTCTTTTTCGACTAATCTTTAGTAATTAAAAAGTCTTTAAAAAGCCAAATTAATGAAAACCCGAAGAATTTCAATAGAAATCCTGTCTTCCGTTTTTCGTTGGATTTAAAAGTTTCTAAAACAAATCTAGTATTACATTTACAGCAACAGCAATATTTAAATATTGCTGTTATGGTGACCGTAAAAACGGATCGGAGGTATTTTTTATGTGTATCGCAATATCTTTTCCACTTATGAACAAATTATGATATCAATTTTTTAAATTTAATATTGATTTTTAATATTGATGACGTTGATTTTTTAGTCCTGAAAAGTTTTATATTTATCTATTGTTTAACAACTTACCAATAGAAGGTCTGGCAATAGCTATTGGAAATTTGTCGCCATACTCAGCAATCAAGTCTTCAGTGATAGCTTTTGTGTACGAGTAGGTGTTTGGCTCTGAAGCTATAAGCCTGCAATATTGTAATGGATATATTTATATTTAACTAATGCGTTTTACTATCAATCTATAATGTTAGGTTTCTATACAGCAGAGAAAACTAAGTGCTAAAGGGCTTCATTCAAAGATTCATTCCTTTACTATATTTCCTTCCAATGCTAGTTTCTTGGATGTAAAATTGTTTCGGAGTTTGAAACTTCAGCTCAAAACATAAATTGGTCATGATAGGTTAGTTGTATCTATTTATATCCTTTATTTCACTTAGTATCATATCCACATTTGTTTAGTCGTTTATCCAACCAACATTCATTTCTAAAGGGAAAAGAATTACGGAACTAGCAACCTCATAGTTAGTATCTATCAGATTCACTTCCACATACTTCCTCTGGAAACTGTCGTTAAATAAGAACAATAGAAACTAAAACCATAATGGTTTTAGTTTCTATTGTTCTTTTTAGGATTTTTCTATATATGCCCAGTACAACCTAATTGAATTGAATGTGATTAAAATGTAGTGTAAATTTTATGTATTTTTTTTTTTACTTTTTTTTTTATTTTATCTAGAAGTGGTTACCGACTCTAAAATTGACATGTATAATGTTGTGGACAAAAGTTAGTTCTGTACCAAATTACGTACTTAGGTTCCAAATACTTAAGTGTATCATCGTCCATCCATTCAACAATGTCCATAATTTTTCGTGGCTTGTGGGCTGGTGGGTATAATTTCTCTTCCATCTCATCTAAATAACAACGACAATACGCTGTTGATAGATGCACCAATACCTGTAATAAAAATAAAATTTTTATAAAAATAATTTGTTTCACGTACAGTTTTGTTTTATGGTAATTCGATTCCAAACAGAAACTATCCAATGTCATCTATGTTGGTAATATTTAAGAACTATCTCAGTCAAATATGGCTCGTACCGAATTTGCTTTTCGAAAATAATTATTCCGTCTATAGATTTGCTTTTAGTAATTTAACCCTAAATGGAGACTGTCCAAAAGGTCGTCAGCATTGGTACCGCTGTATCATATTTTAAATTCACAAAAAAGGCTTACCGCGACGCGGTTACATTTAAATAATGTCTATATACCTACCTGATTTTTACCGTGTGGTTTCGGTATAAAATGGACCACTTCTACCTTTCTATGTGTGTCGTGAAGAGGCGATTAAAGAAACCTAATGGTCAACGGATAATCAGCAGCATCTCTCTTAATATATCAACAAACAAAGCCTAACTGCGGTTGCCAACTCGCTTGCCAAGCGTGGCAAATACTAACAAAATATTTCTTTATAGGGGAGGTCTATGTTTAGCAGTGAACAATTAACCTGATTTTACCTGAAGATTTTTCATACTTTCAGCAAGTTCTAAAACTCGTAGCGTGCCTCTCGTATTCATATCGATTGCATCTTTCAATTTTAGGTCAAATCTGCAACAAATAATAATATTAAAAATAACTCGCTAAGAGTGTTGGGCAAGTATTTTCAAATCTCAAAAGGGCGTAAAGTTTTTTAAGGTCACTGATATGCGCATGACACTTATGGTATTGATGGGTAATGAACCCCGATAATCGTTTAACGTCAGATGAACTATGTTTGTTTACTAGCGTATTGTATTAAAGTGAAGCGTAAAAGAATGTTGTGCATCATCTCAGTTTTTTTTTAATTCCTTTCTATATAGTTATGAAAAGAAAGGCTTTTTTTTATAAAGATATAAGTTATTATAATTTTACAGTAAACTTTAAACGCTTTGTATAAATAGATATATGTTGTAGTGTAAAATTCATGCCATGAAGGTACATAGATAGCATAAAATTCATACCGAACACAAGCGGCGCTATGCAAGATAATATTGCAGCGTTCTTGCAACTCTATCTTGTCTTCAGGTGATATTCCTAGTTCATTATCTAAGATATCTCCGGCAACTAATTTGAGTTTCTTGAATACATCTGGAGTCTTCTCTCTTAGATTTTCGAATATCTACAGAAGAGTGATTAGTAAGATGAAAGGAAGTGATGAAATTTTTAGCGACATTATCAGAAAATTATGTTTATTAAGAACATACACAACGAAGTATGGCAACGCCGCAATATTCTGTCAATTTTCAAAAATAATGGAAGAAATTTCAATAGTTATTTATGATTATTCAAAAAACGCCCTGACTTCGATATAAAGCATTATTCATTAAATATATTGCATATAAATATACCGCTAAAAAATTTATACCTTATGATAAATACTTTTTCGCCATCTTAATTAAAATTTTTAGTAATAACATAATAAATATAGTATGGCGTGATTAACAGTTTAGTTTGTAGTCAAAGCATTTTTTAAATAATCAGTCAGTCTTTAATTGTTTTTTTTTTTTTATTTAGAGTGGTTTTTATCCTTATAAGGATATGTCAGCCTCATCATACCCTAATTTTAAAAAGTATTTCACATACCTAATACATTAATACACAAATAAATAATAAATAATACCTTAGTAATCTATTTTAATAAAGGGAATTATTGATACAAAAATAGCAATTAAAGATTTTGCCATTCCGGAATGTGGATCTGCAAGTATATTTGAAAATAAACCAATATCCTGTCTATTGAGACTATATTTCTGTATCAATACTTCCTTTTGTGTTTTGTATTTTGTACATTCGGATTAATTTATTTTGAAAATTGACAAATTCTTGCAACGTTGCCACACTTCGTCAAGATAAAGTTATAGACGCTCTTAAGAATAACTAATTATTATCCTATTAATCTATGGACAAATCTGTGTACTGTCTCGTTTTCTTATATGCCATTTATCTAGGAGGGCTGATATTATTATTATTTATTTAAACAATGACATGATTTAAGTGTTACATGTTACCTTATTGGCACTGAGATCGCGTAGTCTCTCTTCACTATTCAAACCCTTCTTTGGCCTCAACAGAAGATATATCGTATCCACTTCAGGACAGCTGCGAAGCAACTTCTCCACCAGAGCCTGTAAAGTTTATGAAACAAATTTGTGCCAACAAGTTAAGGTTGAAAAATTAATTCATTGAAGGTTCCTTCTGGGTTAACAATACACATGTGATGCCCCAAATATAGTGTCCAAAGATTATAATAAATATTAATTTTAGTCCCATATTAAATATAAAAGTTGATATTTTTATTTGCGAAGTAAAAAACTGCTCATTGCAAAATGAAATCTATATGGACATTGACATACGAATCTGTATTTTAAATTTAAATATTTATAACATAATTTATCGACAAAATATTGTTCATAGAATTGTTATCATTATTTGAATTAGGTGTTTTTTTGCAAAGCAAAATGGGCTTGTTATTCTTACCTTTCCCACGAAACCAGTACTCCCAGTAATAAGAATGGATTTTCCTTTATAAAATTCTGGTACTGAAGGCGCCATTTTTGTCTATAAATAAAATCATATATAATAATAAAATTTTCATTAATCATTTTTGCTTGTTTTATCTTAAAATGTCTGATTTTCTAATATGTTTCATTTTATTATGATCAAGAAGTGGGTTCGGCAAATTTTAAGTGAAATTACAGAATACATAGATATAACACCATAGTCTTCAAGAATGACAATGAATGAATGGTATTATAGATGTACTGTATATAAATAAATATTGTACATATTCGCCTCATAACCACTTGTAAACATCATTACTTCAAGTAGGTTAATAAAATTGTACACAGATATTTCACCTTCTTCTTTGGAACTGGTCGAACAGACATGACAGCGGCGTTTTGTCTGACTTAGATTTTCTTTGTTATTGTCTCTGTCTAGATCACTGGCCTTTTACACTTCTTATTACTTAATTTATATTTTTCTGTACCTTTTCCATTGCAAATACGTACTTTATGTACATAATATATGTAAATCATAAAAGCCAGTTCTTTTTTACATATTAAATCAAAAGTGATAAAGATTCTGTCTATAGACGATGGTTATTACTTTCCATTGAGATAACTATCAGCTTGTTTGTCATTCCAAGTTGCATAAAAAACAATTGATATATGAGAAATAGTAAAAAATTATAATTATAAAAGTTAGGTTACGTTAGTGCGAATGAATGAATGTTCGTAATGAATTCTTTACGATGGGTCAACTGATCTAACTTCATCCCAAACAGTAAAATAAGTATATCAGAGGCCTCATCCTCACCTATCATCCCTCGTCGGTACCCTGTCAATGTATAGGTATCCATAGGGTAAGTAGTTTTACTAATTCATTTTTTATATTAATGTATTCTTAATTGCACAATAAAACTTTGTACAAGTGGCAATCTTAAGGGGATATGGCATTCTCCACCATTAGGTAGAAATGGAAAATGTATGAAGGGCAGTGGTGGTGAAAAATATGTAACATAATTATTGGAACATATTAAAATAATTATACATACACATAATACATAAGAAATAGACATATAATACATAAACATTACTAGTAATTATAGAATACCTTGTAGCAAGAGCTGGTTTTATTGACTCATATTCACTCTATTAAAAAAAATACAAAGGTGCTAAACAGATAGTCTATCTGATAGAAAATAAAAAGCTGCCAAAGGATGATGTCCAAATAAAGGATTTGAAATAATAATATGTTGCCAATCATTTTGTCAACGGAAGTTTCAATAAGCAATTTTCAAGGGAAGTTACTTGTTGCATATCAGGTGGTGTTTTTGTGATGTGTTGTTATTTTGTTACGCATTGTATCCTGTTCGATATGGAAATATTCGAATATAATATTTCTGTAACGTTCTAGAAAATATATTCGATGGATTTTATAATGTACAAGTGTTTATCGAGATAAATAGTATCCTATGTCTTTCTCTTCTCCAAATAGTACGTGTATACTAAATTTTACGACAATTGCACAAGCCAAAAAGTTACAAACAAACAAATTCTCTTTCACGTTTGTAATATTTTGTATGTGAAAATTTTCTTATGTTAAAATCTTATGATAAATGTGAAAGTTTATAAACAAAGTCATTTAGTATTGTATTTACCTATTTTTACATTTCATGTTCATTATTATTTTTACATTTACATTATAGGAGTAATGTGATCTAATAAATGTACATAAAAAATCGACAATAACTTTGTATTTTTTTTTAATTATACTCATTTTAAAGATGCTTATGTGAATATGTGAAATAGTAGAATTTTATGAGCTTACTACCCTTGCCGTTTCTGACAACTGTTTCGATTATAATAAGATGTATGACATCTATATGTCTGTATTCTATTAGTTTAATTGTACATAATAAGCATTTCACATTAAGTTTCCTGTATTTATAATGTTTTAACTGATGTATTTAAATCTAAAATAAATAATTGATTTGCCATAGTAAAAATTTACTACCTATGTAACATAAAATGTAAATAACCTTTTTTAATATATTTTTTCCATCATTATACATGTACTTTGGCTCGTGAGGATTTTATATACTATAGCATTAATGTTTATTTCGCTACGTCAACTGCAATATATGCTTATATTTTAGTTTATGTGAAAATGATAAACTCATTATCGTTTACAATATACTCTGTGATGTCCATGATGCTGTTCATGTTTTTATGAGCGACGGTCACCTCTTTCTATCAAGTCCGATAGCTAGTTTGCCAATTTATGTTGTATTAAAAATATTGTATCTTTCTTGACACCCTTGATGTGTTATCAAGATAATCGCGAGAAGAATTCTACAATTTCATTACTTATTTTTGTTTGCCATTCTAAGTTGCTTTAAAAAAGAAGACTTAATTTATTCGATATAAGTTTAGATTTATCATAATATCTGTATATATGTTTCTAGTAGACCCGGCAAACGTTGTTCTGCCATATAAACTAGAGATAGAGCCATCCTAATCACCTACAGCAGTATGAAATATACTTTTGACTTATTCTCACACCAAATATACATAAAAAAAATCTGGAGAATCGGTCGAGATAGTTGAAACAATATTCGACAAATAACTACCTCAAGGATCAATCGTCGTTAAAGTATTTATGCAATATATTTAAAAAGTTTATATAATATTTATGTAGTACGAGTAATATTGAATACTATTTAAATGTAAATAGGAATAAACAGATTCAATATTTCTTATATATTTTTATTTATTATCGTTTATTAAATTCTCTATGATATTAATTATTATTAAATTAATTCAGTAAAAATAATATAATTAGCTTACCTGATATCAGATTAATTAAAAAAAAAAAAGTTAAAATAATAGTATGAACCACAACGGGCAATTCGTGTGCACCCACTAGAGTATGAAATTTAAAACTGAAGTATGCCTGAATATCGTATTGAATTATAATCGGACATCGCAACCTTTCATTGAGTAACAGTGTACTTTACCAGCACAGACTACTTTTCGATATGCTTCGAAAAGAAAGAGGTTCTAAATTCAACCGCATTTTTACTCCCGACACAAGCGAAGGGATGATATATCATTTATTTTCGGATCTTTTGTCTATCTGTACCATTGTAATTTTTTAAGAAATGAACAGATTTTGATGTTTTTCTTTGAAAACTGACTTCATCGAGAATGTTCCATGGAAATGTCTTTACCCGTTTGAAGCGCTTTAATTTTTTTTTTAAACTCATTAATTACGTTAAAATGGACATTGTAAATAAATATTTGGATAAAGTATTTGGAAATTGTATATGGGATAAGGAATATGTACATATAGATATATAAGGCAATAAATAATTATAAAATTAGCGTAGGTACATTTATTTAGGCTATGGACAAAAAAATTGTTTTTAAGTATGGTAAAGGACAATCCTGATGAAAGACCTATTATCTAGCAATTAATAGGAGTTTTCCACCCATAACGAATATAACATGGCAGTTTCTTCTCCCAACTGTTAAGAAAAACTAATAGTTATAATAGGGCTAGATAATGCGGCTCCCCATAAGGAATTTAATATTCCATAAGGGATTTGATGATAAAGTCGGAAAAGACCTATCGGGTATCCTCAATCGTACTGTTGGAAAAATCTAACTGATTTACACTAATAAATAAACTTCTTGTAGAAACCGTTTTCTTTAATTGATCCAAGCACTTCAATCCACTCTGTTCTGGTCTGTAGACCCGGCGGTCACCTATAGTTTATATATGCAGTATTGTTTTGCCGTTGCTAATTATATTTTTAACTTTATATATCATAATTATGTCAATTATGTGCATTTGTGAACAAAATAAATACATAATTAAGTCGTGTTGAATTAAAGTGATTACTTTTAATTCCATTACGAAAACTATTTGTCATGTGTACTTAAATCAACATTGTAATAATATTTTAATTAAGTCAGAGGTCTTCCAGAGTTCGATGACCTTATACAAGTAGTAATGCTCAAAGTCTTTACCAGAGGGAGACTTTGTACAAAAATCGATTGCTTGGGTACCTCTGTCCCATTCGTGTTTCAACCGTGAAGCAGTTGTGTTTGCATCGCTGTGTTTCGGTTTGAAGGGTGGGATATGGCGTGAATTTACTGGGTACAGAGGAATAACATCTGAGTCCTCAGGAATGGCAACGCATGGGGGTATCATGGGCGAAACAGTATACTCTGTTATGTCCATGGTACTGCTCATGTCTATAAGCGACGGCTACCACTTTCTACAGGTGGGCCGTTAGCTTGTTTGCCATTTTACGTTGTATAAAAAAAATCGATTTTATTTTGTTATTATTTTTTATCCGCGACAGCAATTGCATATAGCTAAAATAAAGATGGACAGAATAGGTAGTGTGACACGTCTGAAAAAAATACGCAATGCGTACGTAAAAGAACCTATCGGAGTAGCACTAATACCGGGTAAACTAAAAGAAAGCAGTTTTAGATGATATGGCTTTAAGAATAAGAATACGGCCTCATGATGAGACGTTAACTTTTTGGTAAAAACTGTCATGAACACTAAAATGTCCTACGAAATGCCTGGGAGAAGAAAAAACATAGCGCAACATGATAGTTCAATATCTAGAAGATGAAAGCGCAGACTTTAGCTCCTATGGACAACCCAGCACAGAGTGTCCTGTAAACTACCGTGTTTAATTCTTGTGTAATTCATCACAATGGGCTAATTAATCTGCTTTCATCCTAACTTATCACCACTCACTGGTCATTCGTTACCGTATGCTGATATTGCAGGCGTAATACCATTCCATTAAAATCTATGAAAAAAAAAATACAGGACCGAGCTTTCTGGTCCCGCTATACGATAAGGCCTGATCCAAATTAATGCTGAAATTAAGGACTGGGATAAGAAAGAGAAAACAATGCTGATACTAGACAGGTATTTCAGCATGTTTCTATATTACTTGATACAAATACAAACACTTAACAAGTGCGAAATTAAACAGGTTCTTTCAGAATCAACGCATCGTTCACTCAACTTGGTTGAGTGAACGATGCGTTGTTTTACTAAATGTTCCCTGTAAAATTTCCTGAAAGTTATTATTTTAATCCACTTTGAAACATGGATTTTTATGTTTCCTTTATAAATGTATAAATAGTAAATGCGTTTATATATTTTGGTTTCAAATTAAATTTTTAAAATTATAATTTAAATGAAGTGACTGTATAAGATAAAAATAAAAAGATAAAAATGAAGGTTATGATGAATTTGGGAATATTGCTTGTTGAATAGAAGCAAATATTAATTTTTTAATCACGAAAGTTATTAGCGTTTTTCTATTTTTATAAGTTACATTTCTTGCGCCAAATAGCTACCGTCTTTTTTCTTTCTCCTCTACCCAAAGTTTGTCTGGAAGAGATTGCTTTAACGATAAGACCACCGTTTGTACTCCATAAGTGTAATATATATCTTTGTATTATTCGTTAAGTGATGCAATAAAGAGTAAATAAATATATAAAATTATAATTTATCAACTCTTTAAGGATTTCTTTATGACACTAGAATACTGTTAGTATTATTTTTGTCAAATTATAGGGCATTGATACGCCTAAATATACTTATATTAACTCGAAATATGTACTTGGTATTTATTAATTATTAGTAATTACCTATGAACAAAATGAAATTAAAAACCTGTTATTTGTAAATATTTATTCAATTAATTTAAAGATAAGTATTTTACAGTTTTTGCCCATTCATTATAATACTTTAATTATCACACTTTTTACATTATTTTTATAAATACATATCTACTTAAAAACCATACAAGTGAGAAAAATTTTGTACTTGTAAAAAATTTTTAATCAATTTAATTGTACGTTAAACACATTAGTAAGTTTTAAACTAATTAAAATTTACTAATGCGTGACATTGTTGTTTAATTAGTTTAAATAGTTACATACATTTAAATTATATCAATATTACGGGCTTTGTACTTTGTGTAATATATGTGTAATTATTTTAATAACTATTATTTAATAAAGTTAATATAGTTTTAATAAATTCATTGAAAGTTGAAATTTCCCGTAGATTATTTAAATATAAAATGGATCAAAAAAACATTACAAGCATGTATTACTTATATTTTTATGTAATAATAAATGTATTAAAATTAAAATATAATGTTTACCTTTTATCTTATATTATAGATAAACAATAATGATATTTAATATTAAACATTATTCTTAAGACTATATTTCACTATTGAGTAAAATACACACATTTAAAAAAAAACTTATCCCATAATTTTATTTTTATAGACAGTAAAGTTGAAATGATAAGGAAATTAATGTGCCAATAGTGGAACTGTACATATTTGCAATGAAACAATAAGTTGAAAAACAAAACAATTCGTGCTTCTAATATATTAATCGAGTTTGTAAGGGAGACATTGATATCCATATATTATTATAATAAATTTAAAAAAATGTCAACCTTATTTGAGCCATATTTCTTTAGAAAAAATGTTCAGTTTCACTCTTAAGAGAATGTTAACGATTTAAAAACTACAAATAATGCAATATAATGCCTTTGGCAAGTATAGTCTAGTATAGTTTAGGATTACTTAGTTTGGGGAATGGCAGAGATGAAATACGTCATATATACATACATATACACTTGTCGACATGTACACTTTTACTTTTCCACAATTTTATTATTGTGTGTGTATATTTGCAATGATTAATTATAAACTCAAAATTGTATCTAGTGCTAACAGTCAACGCCATTTATTTACAACATATTAAATTAGTCACTAGCTAGAGCTAAGATAAGCGTCATTATGAATCTCTTTTGTATAAAATATAAACGTGAAAATTTAGTTTTGTATTTAATTCTAAACTTAACTCTGTAGTATAAATTTTTTCCACATTCTAAGTTATAACTATATATTCTGGTGTCCCCATTCACGCACACAATAAAATTGGTCTATTTTGAACAAAGCATTTATATTGAATTATTCTATCTATTAACACATTGATCAATTTGACATTAATACAGATTGATCAATAATTAGGAAGCATACACTGCTTCTATTGCATAAAATTAAATCTTATTATCAGTCTAATTAGATTTTAACACAGATTTATATAAAAATAATAATAAAGCAACCAAAATAAATACATTAATTTCATAAACATTGAGTTTAAGTTGATACTAATGGAGAAATGACAAGAATAATTTAAAATAATGATATAAAAAATAGATACATAACGTATATATCAAGACTTGCATTGTCCTGTCGATGTAGTATAATCTGAAAACAATAAAAAAAAAATTAAAATATTATAATAAAATTTTCGGGCCAGATTACATATCTTGTTTTGTTGTTGTATTTCCATCAATTTCATTCAATTTTTTTTATGCAACTTAGAATGGCAAACAAACTGACGGCCCACTTGATGGAAAGAAGTAACCGTCGCGTATAGACATAAACAATACCATGACGATCGAAGAAAATGTGATCTCCATGGTACCCTTTAGGAGGAAAGGGATTGTTAGCAATGGAGTTTGACAGCCCCATTGCTAGCAATATACCCTGTTAGGTCGACCTCCACGTGGTTCCCCTTAGTAACCATCGTGAACAAAAATCGTGCTATAAAAAAACTAAGATACGTCTCTTATTCAGAATTTAAATTAATACTTACTTTTGTTGTAGTTTTCTGGCCTGAGGAAGAGTTGCTGGATCTTCTTTGACGCAATAGTGGCGGGCACCCTGAACGTAGTCCCTTATGTAGAGATTCCAATTGATTAACTGTAATATATAAAAAAAATAGTGAACATTCGACAGTAGTGAATTAATAAATACCCTTGGAGATACAATACAGTGTCATATTATCCAATATTGACTCATGCTTCACTATGTGGTATTACAAAACAAACTAATACACAATACAAATATACAAAGGTGGAAAGGATTCTTAGTAATGGGGTCAACAGCACCATTGCTAGCAATATACTCTATCAGGTCAACTTCCACGCGGTTCCTTCTGGAAACCGTCATGGTTAATTCTTGTGGAATTCGTCACAATGGGCTAACTGACTTACTTTCATGTTCACTTATTATCTATCACTGGTGCCCCAACGTATATCTATAGCGCAGGCGTTGTATTCCCATTTATATAAAAAAAAATATACAATGCGGTCCAGAACAAATTAAATATATTTTTTTTTTATTTATAAATACAGAAAATCATATAATTTTATGTGTTTCTAAATGTATGTACAAATTTTATTTCGCATCTTATACATTTTTTATACCACAAAAGTGGCAATAAGCATACAAACCCCTCTGATGATAATCGGTCACTGCAGCCTATGAATGCCTACAGCAATAGAGGTGTCACGTGTGCGTTGTCGATCCTAAAGAAACCTATTAAGGTTTCTTAAAAAGGGTATTCTTTCTGAAGAACACCATTTTATTGTAAATGTTGTTTTAATGTATCGCATTCGCTATAAGATATAGCCTATGTCCCTCTCTATTCCAAATACAGCGTGTTTGCCAAATTACATGACTTCAGTTGTGCCATGAGGTAACCAACAAACAAATAAATAAACAATCAAATAATTTCAGATTTGTAATATTAATAAAGATTCTTTACCTTGACATCGGTGTAATAAGTCTCGTCATCTTCAACAGAAATTTTCTGCCGAAGTGCCAATAAGTTATCGTTCTTGAAGTGCCATTCCTTCGTCGTGTAATACTGTAGCACTTCTAAGCCATAGTTGATACGTTTCTGCGTTTTCACCATGCTGAAAAATATTGAATTATATTACATAGGACAAACAGGCTTGCAGCTTACCTAATGGTAAGGTATTAACGTCGCCTATAGGCACCCGCAAGATGAAAGAATTTATAAGTATGTTACTGGACTTTTAAAGAGTATTAGAATACTCTTTTCTTGAAGATTGTCGTATCTATTTGGAAATATTGTTGCTAAGAGAATAAATTTAGTAGTTTTTTACAGAAAAAAAAAAAAACTAATAAGTTGTATACCGTGCTTTGGCACCGTAAATAAAGTGGAAAAAAGGAAAAATAGTATATATGTGAATCACACAAAAAACAAAAAAGAACTATGTATCAGTTTCAAATTAATTTTTAGGTGATAGACTCTCCCCGATTTCATTCCACCACGTCGTTTTGTAATATTTATATTTGGTGCAATATGTACAAGGCTACACTATTGAAAATTAGTAATACGAGTAATAATAATAAATTTGCTCTTTTCTTGAATATTTCAATGTCATATCTATTCAGAAATACTATTGTATTTTACCTGATTAATTATGAAATTATACAAATTAATAAGTATACTTACAATGTCTTTTTCCCCATTAAGACCATCAGCAAGTCCACTAAATACGCAGGAAGTAGATGCGTGAAAAATACGGCAATTTGATGCTGAAGCTTTGAGGTTTTTGGTGAACCACCAGGGTACCAAATGCAGACGGAGAACGGAAATTCTTGGACGTGGAGGCGACCTAGAAAATGAGTAGTATTTTTTAATAAATATCACTAGTAATCGCTACTTTGGATTATTTTCAATAGATGGCGTTGTAGGTAATACGAAGTTCATCGGATTATCTAGTTGACAATAAAATTCATCATTATCATGATTGTCTTAGACATTATCTTTTCACTGCTAAACATAGACCCCCCCATAGACTGCCATAAAGAACAGCCCTGAGCCACCTGCATGACGCTAAAATTAGCTGTATTTAAAATAGCTGTAATAAATTTAAAATTACTAACCTAACTCGAGTGCTTGTTCCCAGGAAATAGGGTTTATTCCTGACTGTGTTATATTGCATACAGCCACTTCCTTAGGCCTGAAAATAGAAAAATTTAAGCTGTTATTTGGCAAGGTACATTAGAGCACAGTGGATTAAGGTCGAGAAATAATATAAATATTTTTTTATAGCAATTTATTTATTCACCATTACATGCACATAATTTATCAATTTATAAGGGAAATATAAATTTGTTGGTGCTTTTATGTGCCGCAATTGTGAAAAGGCAAACAACTCTGCATTAAGCTGCGGAGTACCCTTAGTATTGATATTCTGCTGGTGCCTTGTAAAAAGAATAAACCTCAATATCGATATATTTATTAATTTAATATTTATTTACCAGAGGGAGACTTTGTACAAAAGTCGATTGCTTGGGTACCTCTGTCCCATTCGTGTTTCAACCGTGAGCAGTTGTGTTTGCATGACTGTGTTTCGATTTGAAGTGTGGGATATGGCGTGAATTTACAGGGTACAGAGGAATAACACCTGAGTCCTCAGGAATGGCAACGCATGGGGGGTATTATGGGCGAAACAGTATACTCTGGTATGTCCATGGTACTGCTCATGTCTATAGGTGACGGTTACCACTTTCCACTTCCACTTTCAGGTGAGCCGTCAGCTTGTTTGCCATTCTAAGTTGTATAAAGAAAAAAAAAATTAGCCTTCTCTATTCCAAATAGTACGTGTATGCTAAATTTCGTGACAATTGTTTGAGTCGTTAATTCACAAATGTTAAACACAAATTCAAGTTAATATTTATAATAATTGACAAGTATTGTCCAATAATCGTCTCTTATATCATCTTTAATTCATATTAAATGTAAATATATAATACTCACTTTTCCAAAGCTGTTGTATAACCAAGAAGTATACAAGCATTGACAACAATGTCGACTGGTATGACATCAGCCATATACGAAGCATTGCAATGCATTGTACGTATTGCACCTGTAATATTAAAAAAAATTTAGACTTTTTTTACAATCTTTTTTTTCAATTTGGATCATTATATTATCGTATCAGAATTTAACTGTCCACTGCTGAATATAAGCTTCCCCCTTGGAGGGGTATTGCCAATAGTTGCCACATTTGGCAGGTGGATTAGCAACCGTAGTTAGGCTTTAGAAATGTTTTAAGAGGGACGCTGCTGCCCGTCCTACGCCCTACCTTAGTCGGGATAGGAAGGGGTGGCCTATTCTATGCAGGGACTATATACGACCAACAATATTTTTTAGATCATAAGAGGTTTTTATGATTTAAAAAAATATGGTTCAGTAAGTTTTTAACTAAATTTCCAGTGATGAAAAATACTGATAACATAGATTGAAGTGTTGTGATGAAAAAAGCTGATAGTGGTAGAATTATCCCCTACCATGTTTGATTCTAATATGCTCGATGAAATATGGGCAACTCTCAACGATTATCATAATGTCAACAGTCGGCAAATTCCTCTAATAAGGGAATTTGTTAAAATAATAATAACGAGGAAGTTGAAGAATGAGAAAGTGGCATTGCTGGGAATATACCCTGCCAGGTCGATCTCCACGCGAGGAGGAATAAAGCGACGATAGGAAATCATCGCTTTATTCCTGGTTAATTCGTCACGATCATCTAACTAATTTCTACCAGGGGGAAGGGATTGTTAGTAATGGGGAGGTTAGTCCCCATTGTTATCAATATACGCTATCAGGTCGACCTCCACGCAGTTCCCCCTGGAAACTATCGTGACTACTTTATCGTTGAATTCGTCACGATGGGCTAACTGACCTGCCTTTTAATCCTCACCTATCACTGGTGACCCGCCAGTGTATGCCGATAGCGCAGGCGGGGTTACCATGCCATTTTCACCCATTAAAAAAATTTACTTCTACCGTTATTCACTAATATCCTGTCAGCGTTTACCGAGAGTGCTGGCTGTTAATATTCCATTTTTATTAATAAATATAAATGTCCTTAATAATCTACTACACTATTGGTCACATATTTAGTTATTTCGCAGGAATATGTATCCAAATTACCTTTTCCAGCTCCAACTATCAGTCCCGTAGGACCGTTCAAATTATCCACCCATCCCGGTATAGGCTCCTTCAATGCAGCCGTTACTGTGAACAAAGTAAAACTGTTACTTTTCTTTACATTAACAGTAATATAAGACCATATAAATTTATTCTTATGTTCTTAATTTAAAATATTTTTCGTCTAAATTGATATGATTTCGTTCACTTTAACCCAATCACAAACTGCTGTCGATACGTTTTGCCTTGTAATCATTACGCGAACGATGAATGAACTCTCTTATGTACCTACAACTAATTTCTTTATATTATTTAAAATTCTTTATATTCTTATATGATTTTAAAAATATCTAAACAGTGAAAAAATTATCCCAAATTTATTATGCTTTTACATATTTAATTTTTTTTTCAAATATAAGCCCAACTATTTAATTTTTCGAAGTTGTACAAAGATAATAATTTTTACCTAAAATTGTGAAAAAAATACCGAATCTGGCAACTCTAATGGCAATTATTATTACTAGGTTTTTGTGAGCTTGAGCAAATTGTGAACTTACCAATCGAAGGTCTTGCTATAATGATGGGATATTTCCCGGCATGTTCAGATACCATATTTTCTGTCAGCGCCTTGGTATACGCGTAAGTATTAGGTTGAGGTTCTATGATTCTATAAAGAAAAAGATTAGTTTACAAGATTAATTGCAAATATGATTTATGACAGATTTTTATTAAATTTATCGCATAATTTTATATGTGCTGCAATTCCTTAAATAGAATCAACTGATATATATTTTTAATTGTGTAATTGTCTTATATGTTTTTTAAATGTGCACCTTAACTAAATAAATAAGTAAAATAATTAAGTGGCAAACGAAACTCTCTTTAGGTATGTTTTTGTTATCGCGCACATAAGAAAAACCAATCGTCGAATGATGCTCTCATTTAATATTAAATTACAATGAAAACATTCTATCGTCAAACCCATTAGCCTATTTGTTTAAGGAACTGTAAATTTGTGTATCACCACAATTGGGTAATAAACATTTTAATAGTCAGAGGCAAAATTGTTAAATAATGACTATCTTATATCCTGGAATTTAATTTAATGTGAGTAAAACGAACATAAATGAATAATTTACAGAGCCAATTTGCCTACTGTTGTCGTTGTTTTAATGCGAGGCGTGAAGTTACGACGTAAGCGTCGTACACCACCTGAAGAAGACTACCGGATGAAGTTGAAATAATTGTCGGAAACAACTGACATAGTATGCGTATAAAATTCCCTTTGGACACACACACACACACACACACACACACATATACTGTCTGAAACTCTAATATAAAATAATATCTTACTTAGGCTCCAAGTGATGTAAAAGATCATCATCCATCCACCTGACGCTCTCCATTACATCCTCATAGTTGTGTTTGGATGGATACACTTTTTCTTCCAATACTTCAACTTCACATCTGCAGTATGAGGTCGATACGTGAATGAAAACCTGGAACAAAATAAGTTATTTTGATACTGTTGTATAGAGATATCTGAGACATATCTAATATCGTGGGCTTAGAGCTTAATACTGACTTAAATAACTATTAGACAAGAAAAAACGATTCTATCAAGAGAGATTATTAAAAAGTATCAAGAAAATTTCACTATAAGCATTTTTATGGTCGTTTTAGGAGAAAGAAATTGTTAGTAATGGGAATTGAATAGCCCTATTGCTAGCAATATAACCATATCAGATAAACCATCGTGGTTAATTCTTGTATTCGTCACTTGAATTTAAAGTATTTCTGTTAAAAAAAACACTTTGATAGAGAGCTAAAATTGCAGTCATGGAAAAAGTTGCCACAGGTTTTTTTCCTTATTAAATAGTTGCACGTAAATTTTTAATTAAAATTTTTGCATCTGCTTCATATTATGCTTTCGAAGTTTTCAAATACTTTTTTTGTGATCAAAATAAAAATTTCCAGTAATTGTTTAGTAAGTAATAATAATATATACTAATTGACAAATCCAACAAAATAAAAAAAAAGTTACCTAAATCTTTACTAAATAAGGAACGATGAGATCGATTTCGATCGATCGATCGATTTGGAATGAGCTAATGATAGAGGTTTTTCCACGATACTACAGTATGGAGTTCTTCAAAAAAGGGGTAAAGAGGTTTCTTCAGGATCGGCAACGGGCGCGTAATGCCCCTGGTGTTGCAGGCGTTCATAGGCTACGGTAACCGCTTACCATCAGGTGGGCTGTATGCTTGTGTGCCACCTCAGTGGTATAAAAAATATATTTTAAATTCGTAATTTCGCGAAGTTACTGTTTTGAGGACTATTGTAAACTAAACATATGACCATAAGGACTAAAACATATTAGAAATTTAGTTTATATTGGTCCTTAGACTTAAGATGTCACTGTGATATTAAATTGAAAATTTGAAATGGCCTCACAGAATCGACCTCAATGCATACATTCTTTTTAGGTTTCAGTAAATCTTATTTTTTTTATACCACAAAGATGGCAAACAAGCTACAGCGTCTGTCTGATGGTAACAGTCACTGTAGTCTATGAACGCCTGCAATATTAAGGGTGTCACGTGGACCATGTCGATCCTAAAGAAACCACTAAGTAAATATTTATTTCAAAATATGCAAGTGTAAATTAATCATTCTATACGGTAACTTATTTAACACGCAGGTACTAATCATTAATAAATTATTCTTGACTCGATTGTCGTGTAAAGAAAAATAAGATTTACAATAATGGATAGCGATACGTGTTTTTAATATTATCTATTAAGGGGGGAAAGGGATTGTTAGCAATGGAGTTTGACAGCCCCATTGCTAGCAATATGCCCTATTAGGTCGACCTCCACGTGGTTCCCCTTGGAAACCATCGTGAACAATTCTTGTTGAATTCGTCACGGTGGGCTAACTGACCTACTTCATCCTCACCTATCACCCCTCACTGGTGCCCCGCCGGTATACCGGTGGGGTCACCATTCCATAATCACCCATTAAAAAAAATATCTATTACGATGTTGTAATGTGTGATAACGCTTGAGTTTTTTTTATTACAAACAACTAGGAATAATAAATGTGTCGACGATCAATCTGATGGTAAATGGTAACTTGTAGAATAAAAACAATAGGTATTTACATATATCTTTTGTGCGAATTATAAACCTCGGTTCGGATTCGAATTAAGGGTAAGTTGCGACTTGTATTTTTGTGGAATGTATTTCTTTTTTTATATCTACTATAATATGAAAAAAGTAAACACATTATTAAAAAGAATAGGGATAAGCTACTCAATTAAATTCATACCTCGAGCTCTTTCATGCCGTCAGCTAAGTCGAGCACTTTCTTCGTGCCCAAAGTATTCAAGTTTATGGCATCTCGGATGAACATGTCAAACCTGTAACATAAACGTAATATCTAATAGAAAAGACTTTAGGAAAGAGGGAGCTTCCCAATTCGGTTACATTTATTTACTTGTTTTATACCACTGAGGTGGCAAACAAGCATACGGCCCACACGATGGTAAGTGGTTACCGAAGTAACTGAAAGAACATATACTTTCAAATTGGTCTCATGGAAATTTTATCAAAATCGGTTCAGTACTTTAGATTTTAAAATAACTCGTTTTGATATAATTGATGTCAGTTTGTTTTTGTGGAACTTTCATCAACAATTTTAAATTATTTTAATATTGCACGATATTCATGGTTTTTCTAAATTGATTTTGATAATTCTTATAGCATTTTTTAGTCCCCAAGATACAAGTCTGGCCTAGTTTGGGGACTGATGGTAATGCAGATATTTTTTCGTTGAATATAAATTGTAAAAATTGTAAATTGTACCTTATGCAACTGTATCTTTCTTAAATACAAATTATTATTATTATAGAATTTACTTGCTTCCATATTGCTACCGTACTAATACTATTCATAATTATGTTTTTTTAGAATGAAATATTATATTAGGATTATCGAATTACCTTACACAAGCTGCACAATGGAACAAAATTTGACATTCCCTTTGCAACAGATCACGGTCTTCGATGGAAATACCGAGACCTTCAGCTAAGATGTCACCAGGTATTACTTGGAGTTTGTCCAGGCGTTTGGGATAATCATCCTTTATATGGCTGAAGACCTAAAAATATAGTCATGACATTTAGATGTAAACACAGGATTATGGTGTTATGCCTTCATACCTTGTAATTTCACTTCTATAACAAACAATTACGTCCTATTTTTTTCCATCTAATATTTTTGATCGCAGATGGCCTTTACAGAGGGCTGAAGGTCAAATCCTATCTTTTGTCAATTTGTCTGTATGAAGAAATAAAAATATAGGAGCGCTACAGTTATTAATTTGTTTAATCATAAAGCGCCACGTCGTCTTGTGCAAATATTTCGTAGTTTTAAAACAATACAAAGGTCATAAATGTCATAAATGTCGTGGTCGACAGTGGATAAATTAATACTGCCCTGTATAAAAACCCTAGTACCCTAGCACACCGCTTCTGTAGTTGTTAGACGTCATGCGATGTCGGCATTGGTTGGAATATATTACAACGCATCTACCCATCACGTTATAGACTCATCAATATAATTATCGTCACATTATCATTATGACAATCAAGGTGTTCAAATAATTTACAATTATTTATGGCTCGTTATCGTTACATACACACAATATACATTTATATCTTTTTCGCTTATAATATTTGTTAATAATGCCGACCTCCATGTGGTCCCCTCTGGAAATCATCGTGCTAAATTCGATGGCGATGACCCAACTGACCTGCCTTTTCATCCTTACTTATTATGCCTCACTGGTGCCGGCCAGTGTATACTGTTAGCGTAGGCGAGTTTAATATAGGTAATATGTACTCGAAAATTGCATGCACGGCTTATTGTAATTATAAACAAAAAGTATAATTGTACATATATAAATATTGCACTATGTCCCACTAGATGGCAGTACTTACCACGCAATTTATAAACGTTTCCAATCTCTCTTTAGTGTTTTGTCCTCTCTTAGGTCTCATTAATAAATATATTTTCTTTATTTCCGGGCATGATCTGAGAAGTTTCTCCACCAAGACTTTCCCCATAAATCCCGTTGCGCCAGTGATGAATATTGTTTTATTTGAGTAGTATTCCTTAACACTCATAGATGGCGCCATGTTGATTGATTTTTTCTGCGGACAAATATAAACTTATTTATTATTGTGAAAGGTTTCCAAGTGACTACTCTACACGGGGAGATGCAATGGATTGCAGCTTTCAGATGAATAGAGTGATAACCTCAATCGCGTATGGAGGTGGATCTGACACACCAATACTAAGAATTCGCTCCCTCCTAATAAAGAGTATTTTCAACAGACTTCAAAAAAGGAAGTTTGCAATTTGATTATATATTTTTTTTATAATCATAACCTCAGAATTCCATCAATTGTAAACAGATTTGGGAAATTCTTTTTTATCTATATATAGACTAGCTGACTCGGCAAACGTTGTTTTACCATATACATTATTTCTAGAACTATACATGAAAATTTATCGTACTACAACCATTATATTCGATTGTCATCTTACAACCATATTGCGGCATATAAAAATCACAAAAAATAGGAGTTGATCATAAAAGAGTGAAAATTTGAAGTTGCATGTATTTTTCGATGCTAAATCATAATAAAATAAAAATAACAAATTTTGTTCAAAAATTACAAATAAAAAAATATTTAGGGGTGGGTTACTCTTATCATTGAGAAGTATGAAAAATAGATGTTGGCCAATTCTACCGTTATACCTACCCGATATGCACCCAAAATTTCATAAAAATCGGTAAAGCCGTTTCGGAGGAATTTGGTAACAAACACCGCGACATGAGAATTTTATATATTAGAGATATACCTTCAAATTGGTTCCATACAAATCTTACCAAAATTGATTCAATAGTTAGATTTTTAAATCAAAACCAGTTAGGTTTTGCCTTTGCAGAATTGACCGTCGTCTATCCCAGAATGCGTAGCTACACAAAGACGTTTCTGAGAGTATATATGCGCTTTTTTAAAGGGGCCAGGCTATTAGAAAGTAATCCTAAATACACTAATGTTAGAGCTAAAATATAGAACAAGTATCATAACAGAACAATTGCTTTACGTAGTATTTCTTTCCTCTATATAGTACTTGGCGTATCTAAACGTATTTGTAAACGTACAATTTCCAACAAATTCTATATTTATAATAAATTGGTTATCCATTCGTTATTGTCATGATAACTGGGGGAAGAAAAAAAAGTGACCGACCTCCATGCGGTTCCCCCTAGAAACTATTATGATTAATTTTTATCGAATTCGTCATGGTGAGTTAAATGACCCGCTTTTTTCCCTATTTATCGTCTCTCAATAATGCTTTATATAGCGATATCACCGGTGGGTTAAATTTCCCTTTGCACCAAATAAAAAAACCTAATATTACAAACTCTTCAAGAAATTCTGCATATGGTTTGATTATTTATATTGCTACGGCAGCTGCCTGCTCGAGCGATCACGTAAATTCGAGAAACGTTCTATGGTCTTGTTCATAGAGCACTTACAAATCTGTTCGCGAATGCAGTAGAGGAAAAAATCTTTTTAAGCACATTTACGACTAACACATTCAGACGAGTGGGGGAAGACAGTATAAGCTCGTTTGGTAGAGTAGGACTGCACCTTGAGTTGATTAAAAGAACTTTTATAAAAATGTGAAGGTTAGATATTATTATTTAAATCCAATCTATAGCACAATCTCAATAATGGTTTACAATTAGTTTGTACAATTCTATATAGATAAAAGGATGCTTTTCGAATAGCACTGACTACCGAGGTCAATCGTTCACTAACTACACTGTTAGGCAATACATAAAATTAATCTTTTTATGATATTTACTATTCTATACTAGTAGCCTTAGGGCCATACGGGTGTTCTAATGAAGAACTGTCTACAGTCTCGTTCATTTTTTATATTGAGATTTATTAACACAATGTTTTCACTTTTCCGTACGATTTTTCAAATATTCATGGTAATCTAGGCCTGGTAATTGCAAACGCAGCAAAAAAATTAGCCAAACAGGTGCAGCCACTTTGAAGTGATGCGTCTATATAGATGGTATATGATAATTGATTTTTATTTGGTGGAAAGGGATTGTTGATAATGGGTTCTACAACCCCTTCGTTAGGAAAATACCCTAACAACCAATTAGTTCTCCTGAAACCATCGTAGTTAATTCGTGTTGAATTCATCATGATGGGCTAACGGACCTGCTTTCATCCTCACTTATCATCCCTAACTGGTGCCCCGCTAGCGTATACTAATAGCGCAATTCAATTATAATCATTAAAAAAGATGCTAGAACGTAATGCGTCAATGCTTGCATCCCAACTGAGTAGCTAGTGTATTGTACAAAGATTTTTAATAAAGCGTTATTTGTATTTACGTCGATGTTTGTAAAGAAATATTCAGTTTCGCCGATAGAACACTTTCTTTAAAGGATGCTAATGCTTTTGATTTCAAGCTGTATAACATTGTATTCACGCACACATGAATAAAAAGTTGGCAAGTTCTTAGCAAAGCGGTTGTATTGAGATACCTTAAATTAGGAATTCCATGTACCTTGAGTATCAACAATGTGTCAAAATTTAATTTGTTAATTTGACGTTTGGTTAATAAAACGTACTTTTTTCAATGTTGCAGATAATTGGAATTAAAATGTTTCAAATCAGGTCGACTTTTTTAATTTATATTTTTTTTAAATTAATATACATGTATTAATTAAAATTGCAGCGCTATTAAATACTAATACGTGTTTTATATCTATACTTAGATACAAATCAAAATATTTACTAAAGAAAAAAAAGAGCATCATTATAAATCATACTGGCAACTCTGGCACTTGTAATACTGGTAACCCTATTTACACACACATCGATAAATCTGACGAAGCATTCACATGTCTATATAATCTAAGTGAGACACTATCTGAAGGATCTAAGAATGTAATATGCTAATTCCATATACAAACACTAAGCATACTATTGTATTTCTTTCATCCGTGATGTACACATAATTGCGTATATCTGCTCATTTTTCAAACATTATATTTAAATGTCATGCTGATTCGACAATATTACAAAACATTATGGTTAGCTAACTTTATTATTACAAGAAATATTCTATTTGAATGAGTATAGAGTAGTCTTCATGTATGTATGTCAAGTGAATGCTGGCATACATGGTGTTCTGATGGCAAGTCATTCTTACAGATTAGTTACAGTTGCTGGTAAAAATTAATAAGTTCTATATTAATTCTATAATCCACGCCGCCATTGTTTCAACGTCTGTCCAGTGCCTAACCAAAGAGGCCGTAATGGAGGTTTTTTTTTTTATGGAATGAAAATGAAATAATTTAGAATGCAATAAAATCTACGTTATCGGTATTCACTGATGAGCTACCAGTGAATGATATGTATATGTATATATATCATCAAAACAATATATATATATATATTTATCATAGGATCAGTAAAGAATTGAATTAAAATCGACGTCGGTGTTTTGAAGTGAAAGCTGATCTTGGTGATTTGGCCAGGATAAGCTGGGTGAAAATTTACAACAACAATAACATCAAGCGACCTAAGGCCAGCTCTGCACTAGCAGGACAAAGACGTTTTATAAAAATATCCCATAAATTAAGACAAAGGCAATAAAATGCCGAGACTCATGATAAGAATTATAATGTAACTTCAACACAATTTTGGTCATTACTCTATGCGATATTAATTGCGTATTTTTCTTGTAGCTATATCCACAATCATTCAAGATTAATATACATATCATGTTACACTAAAACTGATTGACTATTCCGTGCATATGCATACATAATTACATCGTGTATCATGCATGCATATCACATGTGCATCCAGCATAGTTTCCTTGTTTATATGGAGTGTATAACGTATATCCTTGTGTAAATTAATTCATCCAATTTTGCTTAACAGATAATGAGGTGAAAAAAGGAATTTAGAAAAAAAGTCCATAAAACCGATGAGCTACTTTCCTTCCAGTACTTATTTAAAATTTATAAGTATTCATATTATTTATAGTATTTAAGACTACCTCAAAGAGTTTCCTGGCAAGTTTTTAAGATGTAGCGAGCAATAAGTGTCATAAAAAACTGCGTGCGCAGAATCAACAAGTACATTTTTGTATGCAATAATAGAATCGACTTCAGTCGTGAAAACCCACATATCATTAAATGACGATATGTTTCGTAATAGGCATGGAATATTTCACATGTGACACGCAAAATTATAAGTTACTCCAGCTACGTCGCTTCTTAATAGAATGCTACAAATAACTGTTAATGACATTACAGTTAATTGTTGCATTCGAATTATTATGATATTATTTATGAATTAAAATCGCAGCAGATGATCAAATGGGTCGTAAAGAGCATGCGAATATAGACTTTACTACAGTATCATAAAGCCTCTTGTTGTTACTCTTGTAATTTTTAATGTATTTAATTTGCATAATAATGTCCACAAAGAAAAATTTCAACTTCAATAGTCACAATTAATGTGAGACCATTTTATAAAATTCTTACTTATCAACAGAGAGTATTATTATAATGTACCTCCTACCCTTTATCTTTTTTCAATGCCCTTTATCCAAAAATTATCTAGAAGAGAATGCTCAGCGATAAAATCACATTTCGTTATACTTCACCTTAATTAATAATTATATTTATTCTTTATTTTTGTTACAGGTTAAATAAAGTGTAAATAAATAAACAGTACCTACAAGACACATTACTTGTATGAACAGGTACTCGTGACGTAGTTGTAAAATTTGTTGGCCCTGATATCTGTGGAAAATTCTGTCATCGAGTTATATTTTTCAATCTACATTTTAACGCGGACATCGAAAACCCGGAATAAGCCTAGTATTTCGTGCAAATTCCAATATCGTACCTTTCGTATGCGGAACCTTAAAATTTCAAATCATTGTCAACAAGGCCCTTCCAAGTGTTTCAATCACGTAACAACCTCTCACCTTGACATTAAGTAATATTCAATCCGACAATTCAATTTAGTGTCACGTTTAGTGGTGAAATTATTACCGTAGTTGCACCTCTTGAGCTGTGACAATGGTCACT